TATGGAACCAGGGGCGGATTACACTTGAGGGGGACCCCTCAATCCGTTTCTCTCACGATCTACTAACACTGGTCTCTGTCTTCAATCCATTCTCTATCTCTCAGCCTTTCTGCCTTCGATCGTTCCATCTTCGTTTCTACATTTCAATACTTTTCCACTCCGTTTCTGCGCTCATCTTCTATCTCACCTACCTAAAAGTAACGCTGCTTATATAATACAAACCAGACGCAAAGCTGTACATCCGGTGTTGTCGAAAATGTCAAACTATTCTATTTTGATACCACCAGTTGCATAATCTCTATTATTAGCTTGTCCGTTTGTCCTCAAATTGACAAGTCAAATTCTATTTTAGTCAAATCAGCTACGTCACAACTAGTTATATCGTAGTTACATAATAACGATAAATAACTCAGTTCAGTTTTGGCCTTGACCTTGTCCTTGTAGACAACCAAATACGCCGTTTTTGTAACTACAATTGTTACACACACATACACACACAGATATATATATATATATATATATATATATATATATATATATATATATATATATATATATATATACTAGGCTTACTGCCTAGCTTCGCTTAGGTTTACAAAACATCAATTTGAGAATTTGAATGCTTAATTAATTAGAGATTAGCTGATATGTGGAGTGCTTAAGTTTAAACAGTAATGATATTTTAAGAGTAATTGATGGAATGTTCGCAATATATTAAACGATAGGTAATTAGTACTACAGAGTTTCCCTGAATAGTATAACTGAAAATTTATATAACATTGACCTTTAAAGTAAATTTTTATAATTAAAGTAGGATACATTTATTAATTTATAACACAAATTTAACTCAAATGAATGCAATACTTCTTAATTTTCTGTTTATGTTTAAAATAGTAAAATATTGTATAAAAATTATTATTTTAAAAAGTTACATCCCTTGTAAATTGACCGAATGAAGTAGTATTTGTTTACTTTTTTTCACAAAAAGTTGCTATGCGTATATAAGAAAATACGGAATGTGGACAATTTTACAATTTTAAAGACCATAATGGTTTATTTCCGACGGTAATAAATCTTTTTTGTTACCCTCCAGGGTCGGTCTACGACCTCACAAAATATTATGGGGGTCGCTGGTCAATTTATTTATTTATATCTTAATATATGGAGAATTTCACTCGCGGTCATTTTTTTAGCCCTCCTCGAGGACTTTGAGTCTGACCAAGAGTTTTTTCCATACGGCCTGGTCATCTATAGAGGTGCATGCAAAAATTTAGCCAGATATACAGAGGTTAAATCCCCTAAAATGTGTGTTGAAATTACCATGTTTTAACATAAAATACAAAGACTATATAGGGAAATACAACTGGTCAGTTTCGACCACTTTACGAAGTTTTCCCAGATATGCCGAGTTTTATAACACCCAAGGGCTTTCTTCTACCATCTCACTAAATATCAATGGGGGGGGGGGGGTCGTACGGCAGAATTTTTTTGTTCGTTATTTTTAGTTTAATATTAATGTTGTATTAGTGTGAAGTAGTTAGTTTTGCTCAGGTCTGGTAAACCTCCTTGACCCACACGGATGCACGGATTTGAGAGAATAATTCCATCACCATCTCTCTCTACCAATCGGTTAACAAACAACCCCCACGTAACATAACTATGTAATATTATTTCTTTATTCCACATTTTTAGTGCTATGATGTTACTGCTAAGTCGTTACTATGCAATTGCTTATTTAAATGCTGTTATTAAATTGTTGTTTTATTTGTTTATTTTAAAACGGCCTATATGAAAAATGGCCTTCGTGCCTACTATGGTTACCGTGGCGTAATTGAATAAATGAATAAATAAATGAATAAACAACACTCGGTAATGAACGATATAATAATTAAATATAAACAATAAACACTCCCTTTATTATTAGAATAATTAACTACTCCCTATTTCAAGGTACTTCCTATTAAATATTAATTTTGTTATTGTTCTTGGAATAATGACACATTTCACTCAATTTTTGGCTTATTACCTGTCGCTACTGTTACTTTTGAGGTACTAATTTAGTACTAAAATTTACTAAAATTAAATCTAGTATAGAAAGTGAGTATTCTAAGTATAAAAGATTGGGGAGATTGGAATAAACTCCATTTTAGCGTATTTTATTCTGTTGTTGATAAGATTTAGATCTAGATTAGAAAGAGAAAATTTCAAAATACAGGTAATCTATCGAGTATCGAGGCGCCGACGTAAAATCGCCCGCGACTAGATTCTAGAATCTAGTCTGTCTAGTCTAGATGCAACCACAATCAATGGCTATAAATATAGAATATAGATCAATATAGGCTATAGGCCACAAATTAACTTTAAACAGCAGTGTTTGCGAGCAAGATTTGCTATACATAGGCCTATAGTATACTTATTATACTATGATTATATATAAATAAACAGCAGCCATTTGTAAAATTTAAAAATAGAGTGGCTTCCTCTGAATCTCCCGCTAGATCTATAAGTTTAACAAAATAAAACTTAAACAAGATGTCTGATAATAGTGATAAGCATGGTTGCATCTGATGAAAACCTCGCTAGTCTTCATTTATTACTGAAAATTTTTAATTCAATTGTTTAAAAAAAGGTAGGCTACATAAATGAAACAAGGAAATATTTTTGTATTTTTCAAAACATAGAGGAATCTAAATCCTCCTCAAAATGTGAAATAATTATTAAAATTTAAGGAGTCACCTGTTTTTCACATTACTAGTCTCGGACGATTTTACGTACCTAAAAAGATAGATTACAGAGATAATTTTGGATTTTGGGGCACCCGAAATTGGAGGTCTCCTTTTCAACTCCTTAATCCGCTACTGTCAATGAGCTATGACCTCATAACAAAATGTTCAATACTCTTGAGTCATGACTCTTGAGTCTTGAGTCTTGACTCTTGAGATAAACCTTTCCATATCTATCTTTTGTAGCTCCCACCTGCCGTCAAGTGTCTGGTTTAGTTATCATCGGCAAATGAAAGCAATTATACTAACTTTCCTTTCACTTCAAATAACTTATATTCAAAACAGGTTACTTCCTGGCTTTTTTTAAAACATGGGGATTAAATCACCATTTGTAAGCATACAATCACATGTTAAAGTAAAAAAACAAACATGTTTTTCTAGCCTGTTTTGTTAAAATTCATTGTTTTATTTCCTGAAACTAGTTGATGAACCGTATTGTTTGCCATAAAAAAAATTAATAAAATGTATAATATTTTAGGGAGCATTGCTTTATATGAACAGTTTCGGAGAAAAAAGTGACAACAGTTGATGAGGAGCTGAGCGTTTTTTTCATGGGAACAACTAATATTTTTGTGGCCTTTGTTAAGTAAATTAGCTTGTCATTTAAAAAAAAATATATTTAAAGATGGTCAGGAATTTTTCTATTGTTTGCAAGGGTTAGCCTATAATGCTGATATAAAGTAATTCCAAAAGAAAAGGAATCATTCTGTAATAATTGGAGAATTCTACAGCAATGGTAGATGCTATATCCAGTAACGGAACACTATTCTGATAGTTTGCTGAGGGTGATAGACATACATCCAGGACAACTCTGTTGGAATTCTGCAAAACCGCTGATGTTAGGTATGTAATGGACGGACGGACAGATAGATAGATAGATTAAATAGATAAATAAATGTCTTGTTCCCATTTAATGCCCATTGAAAGTAAGTATGTTTAAAACATGATGAAAACAGAGCTGGTTGGAACATTCTATTAAATTGTATATGTACGATATAATTCAAACATAGTCCTACATATTTCAGAATAAATAACAAATTATGCTGGAGAAACCCAGCTTTCCAATGATGACAAATACAATAAGATGAAGATTATATATTTTATTTGTTTTTTTATCAATAGGTTCATAAAAATTGTATTTTAAATACATAACATTTTTTTTACCTAATAACATTTTTTAGGACATTTAAAAAGTGAACAAAGAATTGTAAAGTACCAGAAACTCACTACGATAAAAAAAATCTGGATTTTTGTGATTGGCTGCTGATTGTGTCCCTTTAAGTTTCCAAATTTTAAAAAATTCTTTGGGTAAACTTAGTCAAAAATTTATATTAAGATTCTACATAGAACGATAGCAAAGTTGGTAAAAGCTGGTATTTTAAAAAAAAGCATATTCCTTTGCAAAATGAAACATTTATGGCGTTATTTTGCACTAAAAAGCAAAAAATTTGAAAATTAAATTAATATTCTTAAAATACAACAATGCTCCATGGATTTATTTTTTAACTACGAATTAAGAAGTTGTTTATTTAAATAAAAGAATCTTTATTTTACTTTAAAAAATTTGCTACCTTGTACACTGGTCCGACCCATCCACCCAAACTCATTAGTGCATTCAATAAAAATGAACATAGACTCTACTTGTAAAATGCTAATACAATGGTACCTCAAGATATGAGTTAAGTTCATTCCGTAGGGTGGGAGTGTAGGCGGAGTAGCTTCACTTTGTTCACATACTCACTGTTAAAGCTGAGCTTTTTCTGTCACTTTAATTTTAATTCACTTACTCGTTACACTCTTATCGTTATAGTTCATCCCTAAACTTAAAAGAACTTAAACTTACCGAACATAAGTGAAAATAAATGTTACTATGTTAAGAAAAAATATTTTACTACCTTCACTTATTTTTCGTTACTATTTTCTCTACGCTAATCTTTGCTTTTTTTTTCTCTATGCTATTTTCACTCTCACAGCAAGCCGTTGAAATACACCTAAGAAGGTTTGATTTTTCCCCATTTTCAGAAATGAGTTAGGTAAGTGCCATTCAATAATTTGAATACGAAATCAGTTGCAACTTTTTAGAAATGTTTCATTTCCACAAATTGTTCAAGGTGGTTACTCTAAATTCAAATTTTACTAGTATGTCATAGCAAATTTTAGCTCGCTCTACAGCTCGTATCTAAAAAAAAAAAATCGTATATCTAGGTAGGGCCTACCACTGAATATATTTCTCCGCTTAAAATATGTAGGTTGTTGGAGGGAATGTTGGGGGGGGGGGGGGGCGGAAATCACATACCGGCAAACCCTTTTACCCCAATAATGGACTCACTAAAAGTAGAATTTTCAAAAGGATGTAATGTTCACGCGATGGAGTAGAACAAAATATTTTATCAATCTTTTTTTGGCTCATGACTTAGTTCTCGCCTGTGTCGGGGGAACCTAGCTGACACATGTCGTGACATCTAGGTGTCATCAGACAATGTCACATGTGACATCAGACAATGTGACATGTCTTACTTTTTCTGCTCTGCTTATTTGCGCATGACCCAGACATGCATCCGAATTCATTTTTAATGACCAAAGCTCCATTGGTTCCTCCCACTTTGGTCACGCCTAACTGTTTTGTTAACAAAAACTGGTCGAATTCGTGAGGAGCCGGTGCAACTTTGTGGCCCCCATTTCCTGTAGGCGGAGCCAATTCCTTCAGATTGCTGCCGTCATTATTGAGAGGAGAGCTGGGTGGATCTGAGAACTTCCGTGAAGTGCATGACGCCGCGCGGCTCTCTAGCTCTCGTATCGAGCCGGTGTCCACGTTTCGTCCATGGCAAGGGGAAAAGGGTTCCAAGCTTTTTTTCGGCGATGACCCGACGATATTTTTAAAGGACGCTGAGTCGACATTATTTTTCTGACCGGAAGCGATGACGTAATTAAGGAGCTGAACGGGACTAGAGTTGCCCGTCTTTTCAGCTGATGACGTCAACGTTTCCGTTAAAGGCACATTGGCCCTCATGAGCGCACCTGTTGATGATGTCACCAGTGGCGGTGAACGCGTTTGTTTGACGTCATGCATTGACAAAGACGATTTGTTGACGTTTTGTTTGACGTCATCCAGCACCGAGAAAGCGCCCGGTGAGGAGAAGAGACCCGCAGAGAAGGGGCAGCCTCCCCTGGGGGCAGCACCTCCCCTGGGGGCAGCACCTAACCTCGTGGCTTCTCCCTGCCCCGAGCCCAGCGGTCTAGAGACGTCATCGACGTCCCGGTATGAGACTGGCGAGTAGGGCAGCGGGCTGTTGGACAGTTCCGTGGTCAGCCGGCTGTTGGTGCTGTCAATGTGCTCCTCCAGATTGCGTCGTCTCACCTCCTCCTCCATGATGGCAAGAAAAGGACACGTGACCAAATCCTTTTCCGCCATTTCCTGTTTCCCGTTTAACCAATACGTCTTCATCTGACCTTTGCCCTGAAACAAATTTTATTATGCCAATAAAAGGTCATGGACATAGTAAACTCGTCTACAAACATAGTTAACACAAAAAATATCTTTGCGCTTTTACAAGTTTAACATCAATCATCTTTAGCTCACCACTACCATCACGAAAGTAGCTCACCACTACCATCACGAAAGTAGCTCACCACTACCATCACGAAAGTAGCTCACCACTACCACCACGAAAGTAGCTCACCACTACCACCACGAAAGTAGCTCACCACTACCACCACGAAAGTAGCTCACCACTACCACCACGAAAGTAGCTCACCACTACCTCCACGAATCATTATTGGATAAGCTAACTCTAATGAATATTGATGAAGGGGTCCCACTGGCAGGTATCATATTCAATGAGACCGTTTTGCCGGGAGACTTAGTCTCTACAGCAGGGGTCTCCAAACTACGGCCCGCGGGCCGGATGCGGCCCGCGAAGTCCTCTCATCCGGCCTGCGGAGATCTTTTTGTCCATTGAAAAATTGTTTGTTGGTGATAGCTGAAGAACTTTGGCCAGAAAAACCAAAGACAAGCCTAGAAGAAACTGGCCCCCAAACTGAAATTTGATAGTTAATGCGGCCCTCGGATTGAAAAGTTTGGAGACCCCTGCTCTACAGAAACCGTATTGTCAGTGGTCCTTTAGTCGGGAGCCAAATTGACAGGAGCCTATTTGTCGTGAGCCAAAGTGACGGGAGTCTATTTGCCGGGAGTCGTAATGACGGAGTCCGTTTTGTCGAGAAAACGGGAGCCTATTTGTAGGGAGCCTAAACGACGGAAGCCTATTTGTCGGGAGCCTATATGACGGGGTCCATATGTCGCTGGCCCTTTTGTCGGGGTCATTTTGACGGAGCCGTTTTGACGGAGCCGTTTTGTAATTGGCCGTTTTGACGCCGCACGCAATTATTATTTCTTTAAGCAAAAAAGGCTGGTCGATAAGTGACAAGTTAATACACGTAGTTTTGGTATCCACACAAGTTAGATGCAATTACATGTCAAGTGGACGTTTCAACAACGGTCTTCGTCGGCAAACTAAAGCGTCATGACACCGTGCGTGTTTTTATATCTCGTCTTTAACCACATTGATGTGTACTGACTGTGACCTTGGGCCGAAGCTATCATAGTACTTTTAATTTTAATGCATATCATTTGTGAGGATACTACTCAATTTTTTTAAAAATATAGTTTTATTATCGTTATATATATATATATATATATATATATATATATATATATATATATAGTTCAATTATGTATGTTTGTTTCTAATCGAGGATTACTAAGAAATATAAGAATTTGATAGACCCCAGTCTTATAGTGTTAAACGTCTAAAGTGCTTATTGTCTAAATTTATGATTTAAAAAATTAATTTTGAAAATGTTTTAAACTAATTTTAATTTCATACTTAAAATAATAAGTTTCAACATGTTCATTAAACGTACCACAATTAAAGCAACAATCACCCTTAACACAAATTCTAATTATGTCTGAAAATTATTTACATTTAGTCCTTTAGCACTCATTATGTCCCTTGATAAATTAGAGAAACACAATTACTTCCCATTACAAAAATATTACATGGGGGGGGGGGGTTGGAGAATTTACTTTTTATTACTTTGTTTTGGTGTTGGAAAAAATACTTAAATAATTAGCACGGATTGACGAAGTGCACGTGGTAGGTATTTTAAATACTGCCTTTTATTTATTTTATACACTGGACGTACTGTTTACATTATTTTTTAATCAGAGACATTTGTCGTAAAAAGACATCTTTATTCAGGAACGGGAATTCCCGCAGGTTATCATTTGTGTCTTTTTTTTTGCGCATTCGTTTTTGTCTGCTTTTTTTTTTTTTTGCGCACGAAGGGGAATTCGTATTTGTCGGTCGCACCAAAAAGCTCTTTTATAGACACCTGCACCAAACTACAAGAAGATATACCATTTTATATAATACTAGCCATCGGCACCCGTTTCACGTGAATTATAGGCCTATATATTTTAAAATGTTGTACTTGTTTGAGAAAATAATTTATGAAATAGTTATTGGTCAAAACGCAATGTGCTTTACTACACGCTGAACGATATTAGTGACAAAGCAAAGAAATAACTAATTAGCTAAAAATCCGACACATTTAACATAACACAGGCAGACACTGATTAAGTGACTTAAATGATTCCATTAAAAAAAAAATTCATAAAAAACGTTTTAATAACAATCTTTTATGTAATGATGCACTAAAAAGTAGAAAATAAATTATACACTACTATTTAAATTACTATAAAGAAAAGCGTGGGTCACTTTAGTACTTTAGTACCTATTTGATACCTTTACTAATATTTGAGAAGAGACCCACGCTTTTCTTTATAGTAATTTAAATAGTAGTGTATAATTTATTTTCTACTTTTTAGTGCATCATTACATAAAAGCTTGTTATTAAAACGTTTTTTATGAATTTTTTTTCAGTACTTTACATGTTTTATTTACAATAGTGTTACATGACTAAAAACCATGGCGCGCCTACTGAAGGTGATGGCGCAGCTATTGAACGTGATGACGCGTGTGGTGTGGTTGGATAGACATGCCTATTGATTCGGTCCAAATTTTAATTAATTCATAAAAAATTAATTAGGCATCCAATTAAGTCAAATTTAATTTCAGATTGCATTGTCCTGATATCTTGACCCACGTGCCAAGTGTGAATCGTATCGGTCAAGTAGAAGTTTCCGAATTTTCACTCCTGCGTTTCGGTCTAGACTTACGACTGACGACTGGCGACTGACGAGGAAGTGAGTTAAATAAAAGCTTGTAAAAATCTGGCTATTCAATGGTCATTATGTTGTTTTTAAGTAATTTGTATTAGTTTGACCGATAAAATTGTATATATTTCATAGCGTACGTCTTGATGAGTAGATCTATAGATCTAGATCTAAATCAAATTTGAATGAAGTAGTTCCTTTCTTTATAGTCTAAAATCGGAAGATTCACATATAAAAAAAAATAAAAATTAAGTTTGACTTGGTGTGCCTCGATCCCGCACCACATGCGTGATATTAAGTACACTATCATCTCAGCTATTTAGGTACATGGAGAATGAAAGACGTATTTTAAAAGCTTAACTTACGCTAATATGCCTATTCTTTCAAATTTTTTTTTCCAAATTAGTCAGTTCCATAGCTAAACAAAGATTTCTATAAAATAATTAAGGCCTGAAATAGTTTAATATAGAATTTTATTTTTGGAATAGATTCTAGAGTAGATAGAGTCTAAATCTAGATCTTAGCGTCTACGTCTAGTTTTTGCGTAGATTTAGATCTAGTCTAGATCTAGAATCTCTAGATCTAGAATCCAAATAGATAAAATAAATTTTATAAATTTAGGCCTGAAAAATTGTATTGTATACATTTCATAGCGTACGTAGATCTAAATCAAATTTGAATAAAATAGTTCATTTCTTTTTATTCTAAACTCGGCATTGTTTCATGGGTTCATTTTTCACAACCATAAACACTTTTCCTGTTGCATACTTAAAACTGTTTTTCTACATTCGAATATACCTTTATTTTTTATTTTTCTTCTTTAAATAAAATAAAATGTTGGTTATACATTTAAAACATCTACCATATTATTTTCAACAAAAGTCCGTATCAAATTCTCCTTTGGTCGCCGAAGATTCTGATGTGATAACCTGCGAAAATATTTTGCGGAGAGAGAGAGAGAAAAGTGCGCACATGGGCTTTTATATATTAGGACTAGCCGTCCCGGTTTGTGTTAGTTTGTGTTGTGTTTGTGTTTTCTTTTGTTCTGTTAAGTTGGTATATTTAAAAAAGATTCACCATGGCAGAGCACGTGTATAAGTGTATAAGTGTATATATATATATTATATATATATATATATATATATATATATATATATATATATATATATATATATATATATATATATATATATACTAGACTAGACTACCCGTTGCAGTTTCCTTACAGTACGAAATCAAACAAATAAATAAATATTCAAACATATAAACAAAGTTGAGTATTAGTAGTATATATATATATTTATTTATTTATATATATAAATAGAGAAAACACAAGCAAATTAAAAACTTGCACAGTGAAACGAAAACGAAGTATGACGTCGTATAATAGAAAATAATCTCAAGCCGGAGAGCGCACGCAGTAATATGACGTCATTGATTCTCGAGTAAACATTGAATAAAAAGGCAATTTTGTCTAATCTAAGTGGTTTGCGTGAAGAGTTTCTTTCATACAATTCTTCGGGTAGGGGCGAAGCCCCACCCCCGCGTAAGAACGTCTGAGCCCCCCCCCTCCCCAACTCAAAAGATACTCATCGATACTCTATAATAAAATTACCGCCTAATTAATGTGTCTAATCTAAAAAGTGGTTTTCTTGCAATTTCTTAAATGCAATTCTTCGCCTAGTGGCTAAGCGCGACACCAGTGTTTCTTTCAGACTTTTTCCTCTCTTCCGGTAGGGGCGAAGCCCCGCCCAGATTCTTCCTTTAGTTTGTATGATCTACAAATGCGACCAGTGTTTCTTTCAGACTTTTTCCTCCCCGGAGAGGGGTGGGGGGTACTTGAAATTTTCGGGGGCGGGGGTAGAATTTTCTGGGAGGGTGCGGACACTGGAAAAAGTATATAATTATATTTCGTTGAATGGGACAGTAGTCATGTTTTGGAGGTTGTGTGTGTGGGGGGGAGGGGGGGGGGGGGGCGAAGCCCCCTTCTCCCAAGTAGAGTTGCCTGAAAGAAACTCTAAATGCGACTTTTGTCATGAATGAGATTAGGTGCATGGTTTAGAGATATGCCTATGACTATATTTTGTATAAATTAAAGTACCGAGAAAATAGACGGCACTATCAACCTGGCGCCCGTTGTACCCTTCCTCAACGGGCCATTTTTCTCGTCTTAAATGAAATAGGAAGTAATTATGTACTTATTACAATTTTGGTTAAAAAATAAGCTTTCTGGCTACAACAATTTGGAACCATTTGAAACCAACCTTCAAGACTATTACATTAGCGAACGTGATTCCATTTGAAATTCTTTTCTGTAGGCTACCACAATTCGAACCAATTCAATAAAACTTAAACTAACACATGGGGCGTTAAAAAAACAACTATATTATATGTATATCATATATCATATATATATATATATATATATATATATATATATATATATATATATATATATATATATATATATATATATATATATATATATATATATAAACACACAGTGTTTCTTCCAGACTTTTTTCCGGGGGAGGGAGGGCGGTCAGAATTTTTCGGGGGGGGGGGGGTGGGGGGGAGCGGACACTAGTAAAAGTGTATGTTTACTATATAAAATCCATCTCGTTCGGGGGGTAGTGGAAGAAACTGTATATATATATATATACACCTTTATATAGTATTTCTGCGTATATCTACAGTCGTGAGAAAACCGATTGCAAGTCCCTGCATGGTGAAGACACAACGAAAGCCAAAAAGACTGACCTTGACCTCAATCGACCCCCTATTTTCCACGTCATACGGGTAGCCCTCTAGTTCTCGTTTGGTTGTTTCACTGATGTGAATTTTCATGGCCTGCAATCAGACATAGATAGACATAGACAGATATAGATAGACATACATAGACATAGACAGATATAGATAGACATATACAGACATAGATAGAGATAGACAGACATAGTTAGACATAGACAGACATAGACTTAGATATACATAGAAAGACATAGATATACATAGAAAGACATAGATAGACATAGACAGACATAGACAGACATAGACAAACATATATAGACATACATAAACATAGACAGACAAACATAGACAAACATACATAGATAGACAAAGACAGACAAAGACTTATAGACGTATAGACACTGAAAGAGACACAAACATAGACATAGAGAAAGACAGAAGTACCTCGCCACTGGTCTCCATGCGAGATGCTGTGTTGACGGTGTCACCAAACAAACAATACCTCGGCATTTTAATCCCTACCACACCGGCCACCGTGTTACCTGTGTGCACACCTAAAAAAATATTGACTCGGTTAGCTAAGATCAGTCCCGATTAAACCCATTTACAGTTAACCAAGTGACAGTTGACCCAGTGACAGTTGACCCAGTGACAGTTGACCCAGTGACAATTGACCCAGTGACAGTTGACCCAGTGACCCAGGGACAATTGACCCAGTGACAGTTGACCCATTGAACCAGTGACAGTTGACCCAGTGACAGTTGACCCAGTGACAGTTGACCCAGTGACAATTGACCCAGTGACAGTTGACCCAGTGACAGTTGACCCAGTGACAGTTGACCCAGTGACCCAGGGACAATTGACCCAGTGACAGTTGACCCATTGACCCAGTGACAGTTGACCCAGTGACATTTGACCCAGTGACAGTTGACCCAGTGACAGTTGACCCAGTGACAATTGACCCAGTGACAGTTGACCCAGTGATAGTTGACCCAGTGACAGTTGACCCAGTGACAGTTGACCCAGTGACAGTTGACCCATTGACCCAGGGACAGTTGACCCATTGACCCAGTGACAGTTGACCCAGTGACAGTTGACCCATTGACCCAGGGACAGTTGACCCATTGACCCAGTGACAGTTGACCCAGTGACGGCTAACCCAGTGACATTTGACCCAGTGACAGTTGACCCAGGGACAGTTGACCCATTGACCCAGTGACAGTTGACCCATTGACCCAGTGACAGTTGACCCAGTGATAGTTGACCCAGTGACAGTTGACCCAGTGACATTTGACCCAGTGACGGCTAACCCAGTGACATTTGACCCAGTGACAGTTGACCCAGTGACAGTTGACCCAGTGACATTTGACCCAGTGACGGCTAACCCAGTGACAGTTGACCCAGTGACATTTGACCCAGTGACGGCTAACCCAGTGACATTTGACCCAGTGACAGTTGACCCAGTGACAGTTGACCCAGTGACAGTTGACCCAGTGACAGTTGACCCAGTGACATTTGACCCAGTGACGGCTAACCCAGTGACAGTTGACCCAGTGACATTTGACCCAGTGACATTTGACCCAGTGACGGCTAACCCAGTGACAGTTGACCCAGTGACAGTTGACCCAGTGACGGCTAACCCAGTGACAGTTGACCCAGTGACAGTTGACCCAGTGACAGTTGACCCAGTGACAGTTGACCCAGTGACAGTTGACCCAGTGACGGCTAACCCAGTGACAGTTGACCCAGTGACAGTTGACCCAGTGACAGTTGACCTAGTGACGGCTAACCCAGTGACAGTTGACCCAGTGACAGTTGACCCAGTGACATTTGACCCAGTGACGGCTAACCCAGTGACAGTTGACCCAGTGACAGTTAACCCAGTGACAGTTGACCCAGTGACAGTTGACCTAGTGACAGTTGACCTAGTGACAGTTGACCCAGTGACAGTTGACCTGTTAACGCTACCTACCTATTCTAATTTTCATGGTCTCGTTGTTTGAGGGATTAATTAAATTTTTCATGGAGGCGCGCATGTCTAGCGCCATGTCGCACATATGCAGGGCGTGAAACTTGGTCGTTGTTGGGGCGCCAGACACAGCCATGTAAGCGTCTCCAATGGTCTCCACCTGAAACATATAGCTAATAGGGTTAGGGTAAGTTAAGGTTAGGGTAAGTTAAGGTTAGGGTAAGTTAAGGTTAGGGTAAGTTAAGGTTAGGGTAAGTTAAGGTTAGGGTAAGTTAAGGTTAGGGTAAGTTAGGGTTAGGGTAAGTTAAGGTTAGGGTAAGTTAAGGTTAGGGTAAGTTAGGGTTAGGGTAAGTTAGGGTTAGGGTAAGTTAGGGTTAGGGTAAGCCAGGGTTAAGGTAAGTTAGGGTTAGGGTAAGTTAGGGTTAGGGTAAGTTAGGGTTAGGGTAATTTAAGGTTAGGTTAAGTCAGGGTTAAGGTAAGTTAGGGTTAGGTTAAGTCAGGGTTAGGGTAAGTTAGGGTTTTGGTTTGGTTACATTGGGGCTAGGGTTAGAAAGATAGTAATAGTGTTAGTGTGACAGTCATTGGGTTTTCACTTTCCGTTCAGTCCAATAGTTATCGACAATAGTTATTGAAATTAACAAATTGGACAGCCATCTTAATTTTAATGCGAAGTTTAAAGTTCAATTCGGATACATTCTTACGGCCTTTTACACACTGTCCTTCTATGAGTGGATATGCAAATAGATTTAAATAAAATTTAAACCTAAGTAGAAATTTAAAAAAAAAATTAGTCACCTACAGAAGAACTGGGGTAAAAGGTCCTTGGCTTATTTCGACTAATAAACATAAACACTCTCACCTTTTCGACCCTATGACCCTCACCGTGTAGACACTATGACCCTCACCTTGTAAACACTATGACCCTCACCTTGTAAACACTATGACCCTCACTCAGTTGATCAAACTGGGTGTACATAGCGTTGAGCATGGAGACGACCTCCATGGGTGTGATTTGGCTGCAGATGGTGGTGAAGCCGACCACGTCACTGAACAGTATGGTCACGTTGTCAAAAACCTGGGGAAAGTCAGACCAGCAACATCTTCAAACATCACACAGTATTAGAAAGGTTACATTTTCAAATGAATCACATCATCTCCACATCAACTATTAACGCAAGTGCTATTTTGGCAAAAAAAAACCAGTTAACCGAATATGTGACCTATTAAAAAAAATTGGTCCAATTAGCCGTTTATTGGGTCAGATAAGAAGCAAATGTTGACCAGACAAGAAGATGTTGACCAGACAAGAAGATGTTGACCAGACAAGAAGATGTTGACCAGATAAGAAGATGTTGACCAGACAAGAAGCAGATGTTGACCAGATAAGAAGCGGATGTTGACCAGACAAGAAGCAGATGTTGACCAGACAAGAAGCAGATGTTGACCAGACAAGAAGATGTTGACCAGACAAGAAGATGTTGACCAGACAAGAAGAAGATGTTGACCAGACAAGAAGATGTTGACCAGACAAGAAGATGTTGACCAGACAAGATGCAGATGTTAACCAGACAAGAAGATGTTGACCAGACAAGAAGATGTTGAGCAGACAAGAAGCAGATGTTGACCAGACAAGAAGCGGATGTTGACCAGACAAGATGTTGACCAGACAAGTAGCAGATGTTGACCTGGCAAGAAGATGTTAACCAGACAAGAAGATGTTGACCAGACAAGAAGATGTTGACCAGACAAGAAGCAGATGTTGACCAGACAAGTAGCAGATGTTGACCTGGCAAGTTTCCACAGACGGCACACCTTTCCTCAGACGATCTGCAACAGGTTTTGGAATCATCTGGTAGAGCAACGCGTCTGTGCGCTGCATCTCCTGGTCCAACTTGATCATGCTCTGCTCCAGCAGTCGGCTCTTCTCTTGTTCCTGCACAAACAGAGCTAGATGTATACAGACAACCCACCATCCTACAGACACAACCCACCATCCTACGGACACAACCCACCATCCTACAGACACAACCCACCAGCCTACAGACACAACCCACCAGCCTACAGACACAACCCACCAGCCTACACTCACAACCCACCAGCCTACAGTCACAACCCACCAGCCTACAACCAACCCACCAGCCTACAGACACAACCCACCAGCCTACAGACACAACCCACCAGCCTACAACCAACCCACCAGCCTACAGACACAACCCACCAGCCTACAGACACAACCCACCAGCCTATAGACACAACCCACCAGCCTACAGTCACAACCCACCAGCCTACAGTCACAACCCACCAGCCTACAGTCACAACCCACCAGCCCACAGTCACAACCCACCAGCCTACAGACACAACCCACCAGCCTACAACCAACCCACCAGCCTACAACCAACCCACCAGCCTACAACCAACCCACCAGCCTACAGTCACAACCCACCAGCCTACAACCAACCCACCAGCCTACAGACACAACCCACCAGCCTACAACCAACCCACCAGCCTACAGACACAACCCACCAGCCTACAACCAACCCACCAGCCTACAGACACAACCCACCAGCCTACAACCAACCCACCAGCCTACAGACACAACCCACCAGCCTACAACCAACCCACCAGCCTACAGACACAACCCACCAGCCTACAACCAACCCACCAGCCTACAGACACAACCCACCAGCCTACAGACACAACCTACCAGCCTACAACCAACCCACCAGCCTACAGACACAACCCACCAGCCTACAACCAACCCACCAGCCTACAGACACAACCCACCAGCCTACAACCAACCCACCAGCCTACAGACACAACACACCAGCCTACAGTCACAACCCACCAGCCTACAGACACAACCCACCAGCCTACAGACACAACCCACCAGCCTACAGTCACAACCCACCAGCCTACAACCAACCCACCAGCCTACAACCAACCCACCAGCCTACAGTCACAACCCACCAGCCTACAGTCACAACCCACCAGCCTACAACCAACCCACCAGCCTACAACCAACCCACCAGCCTACAGTCACAACCCACCAGCTTACAGTCACAACCCACCAGCCTACAGTCACAACCCACCAGCCTACAACCAACCCACCAGCCTACAGACACAACCCACCAGCCTACAGTCACAACCCACCAGCCTACAGTCACAACCCACCAGCCTACAACCAACCAACCAGCCTACAGTCACGACCCACCAGCCTACAGTCACAACCCACCAGTCTACAGACACAACCCACCAGCCTACAGACACAACCCACCAGCCTACAACCAACCCACCAGCCTACAGTCACAACCCACCAGCCTACAGACACAACCCACCAGCCTACAGACACAACCCACCAGCCTACAGTCACAACCCACCAGCCTACAGACACAACCCACCAGCCTACAGACACAACCCACCAGCCTACAACCAACCCACCAGCCTACAGTCACAACCCACCAGCCTACAGACACAACCCACCAGCCTACAGACACAACCCACCAGCCTACAGTCACAACCCACCAGCCTACAGACACAACCCACCAGCCTACAGTCACAACCCACCAGCCTACAGTCACAACCCACCAGCCTACAGACACAACCCACCAGCCTACAGACACAACCCACCAGCCTACAACCAACCCACCAGCCTACAGTCACAACCCACCAGCCTACAGTCACAACCCACCAGCCTACAGTCACAACCCACCAGCCTACAGACACAACCCACCAGCCTACAGTCACAACCCACCAGCCTACAGACACAACCCACCAGCCTACAGTCACAACCCACCAGCCTACAGACACAACCCACCAGCCTACAACCAACCCAACAGCCTACAGTCACAACCCACCAGCCTACAGTCACAACCCACCAGCTTACAACCAACCCACCAGCCTACAGACACAACCCACCAGCCTACAGTCACAACCCACCAGCCTACAGACACAACCCACCAGCCTACAGTCACAACCCACCCGCCTACAGCCAACCCACCAGCCTAAAGACACAACCCACAAGCCTACAACCAGCCTACAGTCACAACCCACCAGCCTACAACCAACCCACCAGCCTACAGTCACAACCCACCAGCCTACAACCAACCCACCAGCCTACAACCAACCCACCAGCCTACAACCAACCCACCAGCCTACAACCAACCCACCAGCCTACAACCAACCCACCAGCCTACAGTCACAACCCACCAGCCTACAGTCACAACCCACCAGCCTACAGACACAACCCACAAGCCTACAACCAACCCACCAGCCTACAGTCACAACCCACCAGCCTACAACCAACCCACCAGCCTACAGTCACAACCCACCAGCCTACAACCAACCCACCAGCCTACAACCAACCCACCAGCCTACAACCAACCCACCAGCCTACAACCAACCCACCAGCCTACAACCAACCCACTAGCCTCGGTCACAACCCACTAGCCTCGGTCACAACCCACCAGCCTACAGACACAACCCACCAGCCTACAGACACAACACACCAGCCTAAAACCAACCCACCAGCCTACAACCAACCCACCAGCCTACAGTCACAACCCACCAGCCTACAGACACAACCCACCAGCCTACAGACACAACACACCAGCCTACAACCAACCCACCAGCCTACAACCAACCCACCAGCCTACAACCAACCCACCAGCCTACAACCAACCCACCAGCCTACAACCAACCCACCAGCCTACAACCAACCCACCAGCCTACAGTCACAACCCACCAGCCTACAGACACAACCCACCAGCCTACAGACACAACACACCAGCCTACAACCAACCCACCAGCCTACAGACACAACCCACCAGCCTACAGACACAACACACCAGCCTACAACCAACCCACCAGCCTACAACCAACCCACCAGCCTACAGTCACAACCCACCAGCCTACAGACACAACCCACCAGCCTACAGACACAACACACCAGCCTACAACCAACCCACCAGCCTACAACCAACCCACCAGCCTACAACCAACCCACCAGCCTACAACCAACCCACCAGCCTACAACCAACCCACCAGCCTACAACCAACCCACCAGCCTACAGTCACAACCCACCAGCCTACAGACACAACCCACCAGCCTACAGACACAACACACCAGCCTACAACCAACCCACCAGCCTACAACCAACCCACCAGCCTACAGTCACAACCCACCAGCCTACAGACACAACCCACCAGCCTACAGACACAACACACCAGCCTACAACCAACCCACCAGCCTACAACCAACCCACCAGCCTACAGTCACAACCCACCAGCCTACAGACACAATCCACCAGCCTACAGACACAACCCACCAGCCTACAACCAACCCACCAGCCTACAACCAACCCACCAGCCTACAACCAACCTACCAGCCTACAGTCACAACCCACCAGCCTACAACCAACCCACCAGCCTACAACCAACCTACCAGCCTACAGACACAACCCACCAGCCTACAACCAACCCACCAGCCTACAGTCACAACCCACCAGCCTACAACCAACCCACCAGCCTACAGACACAACACACCAGCCTACAACCAACCCACCAGCCTACAGTCACAACCCACCAGCCTTCAACCAACCCACCAGCCTACAGACACAACCCACCAACCTACAGTCACAACCCACCAGCTTACAACCAACCCACCAGCCTACAGACACAACACACCAGCCTACAACCAACCCACCAGCCTACAACCAACCCACCAGCCTACAGTCACAACCCACCAGCCTACAGACACAACCCACCAGCCTACAGACACAACACACCAGCCTACAACCAACCCACCAGCCTACAACCAACCCACCAGCCTACAACCAACCCACCAGCCTACAACCAACCCACCAGCCTACAACCAACCTACCAGCCTACAGTCACAACCCACCAGCCTACAACCAACCCACCAGCCTACAACCAACCTACCAGCCTACAGACACAACCCACCAGCCTACAGACACAACCCACCAGCCTACAACCAACCCACCAGCCTACAGTCACAACCCACCAGCCTACAACCAACCCACCAGCCTACAGACACAACACACCAGCCTACAACCAACCCACCAGCCTACAGTCACAACCCACCAGCCTTCAACCAACCCACCAGCCTACAGACACAACCCACCAACCTACAGTCACAACCCACCAGCTTACAACCAACCCACCAGCCTACAGACACAACACACCAGCCTACAACCAACCCACCAGCCTACAACCAACCCACCAGCCTACAGTCACAACCCACCAGCCTACAGACACAACCCACCAGCCTACAGACACAACACACCAGCCTACAACCAACCCACCAGCCTACAACCAACCCACCAGCCTACAACCACCCCCCAGCCTACAACCAACCCACCAGCCTACAGTCACAACCCACCAGCCTACAGACACAACCCACCAGCCTACAGACACAACACACCAGCCTACAACCAACCCACCAGCCTACAACCAACCCACCAGCCTACAGTCACAACCCACCAGCCTACAGACACAACCCACCAGCCTACAGACACAACACACCAGCCTACAACCAACCCACCAGCCTACAACCAACCCACCAGCCTACAGTCACAACCCACCAGCCTACAGACACAACCCACCAGCCTACAGACACAACCCACCAGCCTACAACCAACCCACCAGCCTACAACCAACCCACCAGCCTACAACCAACCTACCAGCCTACAGTCACAACCCACCAGCCTACAACCAACCCACCAGCCTACAACCAACCTACCAGCCTACAGACACAACCCACCAGCCTACAAACACAACCCACCAGCCTACAACCAACCCACCAGCCTACAGTCACAACCCACCAGCCTACAACCAACCCACCAGCCTACAGACACAACACACCAGCCTACAACCAACCCACCAGCCTACAGTCACAACCCACCAGCCTTCAACCAACCCACCAGCCTACAGACACAACCCACCAACCTACAGTCACAACCCACCAGCTTACAACCAACCCACCAGCCTACAGACACAACCCACCAGCCTACAGACACAACCCACCAGCCTACAGACACAACACACCAGCCTACAGACACAACACACCAGCCTACAACCAATCCACCAGCCTACAACCAACCCACCAGCCTACAACTAACCCACCAGCCTACAGACACAACCCACCAGCCTACAGTCACAACCCACCAGCCTACAGACACAACCCACAAGCCTACAACCAGCCTACAGTCACAACCCACCAGCCTACAACCAACCCACCAGCCTACAGTCACAACCCACCAGCCTACAACCAACCCACCAGCCTACAACCAACCCACCAGCCTACATTCACAACCCACAAGCCTACAACCAACCCACCATCCTACAGACACAACCCACCAGCCTACAACCAACCCACCAGCCTACAACCAACCCACCAGCCTACAGTCACAACCCACCAGCCTACAGTCACAACCCACCAGCCTACAGACACAACCCACAAGCCTACAACCAGCCTACAGTCACAACCCACCAGCCTACAACCAACCCACCAGCCTACAGTCACAACCCACCAGCCTACAACCAACCCACCAGCCTACATTCACAACCCACAAGCCTACAACCAACCCACCATCCTACAGACACAACCCACCAGCCTACAACCAACCCACCAGCCTACAACCAACCCACCAGCCTACAGTCACAACCCACCAGCCTACAGTCACAACCCACCAGCCTACAGACACAACCCACAAGCCTACAACCAGCCTACAGTCACAACCCACCAGCCTACAACCAACCCACCAGCCTACAGTCACAACCCACCAGCCTACAACCAACCCACCAGCCTACATTCACAACCCACCAGCCTACAACCAACCCACCAGCCTACATTCACAACCCACCAGCCTACAACCAACCCACCAGCCTACAACCAACCCACCAGCCTACAACCAACCCACCAGCCTACAACCAGCCTACAGACAGCCGTCATCACTAGACTTACCTGGTCTAGCGCGAGCTTCAGCTCGGCTGACTGCTGTGTCCCCGCGAGAACGAGGTCCCGACTGGAGTCGTGCATGCTGAGGTCGTTGATGTAGAGTCCAACACGGAACAGTCACAACCCACCAGCCTACAACCAACCCACCAGCCTACAGTCACAACCCACCAGCCTACAACCAACCCACCAGCCTACAACCAACCCACCAGCCTACATTCACAACCCACAAGCCTACAACCAACCCACCATCCTACAGACACAACCCACCAGCCTACAACCAACCCACCAGCCTACAACCAACCCACCAGCCTACAGTCACAACCCACCAGCCTACAGTCACAACCCACCAGCCTACAGACACAACCCACAAGCCTACAACCAGCCTACAGTCACAACCCACCAGCCTACAACCAACCCACCAGCCTACAGTCACAACCCACCAGCCTACAACCAACCCACCAGCCTACATTCACAACCCACAAGCCTACAACCAACCCACCATCCTACAGACACAACCCACCAGCCTACAACCAACCCACCAGCCTACAACCAACCCACCAGCCTACAGTCACAACCCACCAGCCTACAGTCACAACCCACCAGCCTACAGACACAACCCACAAGCCTACAACCAGCCTACAGTCACAACCCACCAGCCTACAACCAACCCACCAGCCTACAGTCACAACCCACCAGCCTACAACCAACCCACCAGCCTACATTCACAACCCACCAGCCTACAACCAACCCACCAGCCTACATTCACAACCCACCAGCCTACAACCAACCCACCAGCCTACAACCAACCCACCAGCCTACAACCAACCCACCAGCCTACAACCAGCCTACAGACAGCCGTCATCACTAGACTTACCTGGTCTAGCGCGAGCTTCAGCTCGGCTGACTGCTGTGTCCCCGCGAGAACGAGGTCCCGACTGGAGTCGTGCATGCTGAGGTCGTTGATGTAGAGTCCAACACGGAACATGTCGTCCAAGGAACTCATTCTGAAAGTAGCAGGGAAAAAGTTTTCTTCCTTAGAACTAATCCAAGCAGTGCGAATTGCGTGCAGCTTTTATCTAAATGGTTTCATCATTACTTAATTAATGTTAGGTTATTTGTTCTCCTCTATATTCAATTTCTTGTTTAATTTTTGGCAATTGCAATATCATTGTTCAAAATTAACAAACAACGCGCAGACGTACACATACACACATATATAAGACTAACACCTGAAACAAAGCTAAGGCTAACATCTTAAAAAAGGGTGTAACCTCACGGCTAGACGATTTAAAGACCAACGCAGGATAAAACGATATTTAGAGTACGAACCAACCAAGAGCTAACTATATATTCCTGTACTAGCAGTCTCGTAAGCAAAGGCTAGGGGGGGGGGCGGTCATTTTCTGCAAATTGGAGCCTTTTGGGGAACTTATTCAACTGAAGATTTTAAACTAATATGTGTCAGAAATTTACTTTTTGTCGGCTCATGGATTTGTCCTTAACAACCGTTCTTCTTAAGCATGATATTTTAAGCATTTAATACTAGACTAGAACTAAGTGATAACACTATTTACAATGGTGGTGCTTAGAGTTCGTTAGTTAAGATATTACTAAATTTTAATGGAAAGAAAACCAGAAAAGAAGAAATATGCAGTGAGGAAGAAATTGAAAGACATCAGATCGCCAACAAACATCATTAAACTTTGGACACATTTTTCAAGCTACATACAACAAATAAACCGGGAGTGATCTCCCCTAAATTTTCTTGAATATTCTTATATAACACTACGTGGGATGGCAACTCGGAATATAGACATGATTTTTAATTATTTAAACTTTTTAAAATAGAATAGAATCTCGTAGAAAAAAGAAATGCGCACCAAGCGAACGCCAAAACAAAATATGCATAATAGTGCGGAATATTATTAGTACTTTATAAATTTACATGCGTTTTTTTTTTTGAGAAATTAGAAATATCGTAAATTACTATTTCCGGTCAACAGAAATTACTCAAAATTTGATAGAAGGTAGAGAATTAGATCTTTTACTTGCATGTGAAATTTTATTTACCTATCTGAAATAGTACTTAAGTTATAGGCTTTTGAAAAATTCAAAGTAAAAAAGTAACACTTTCGGTTATCGGAAATCACTCAAAAGTTGATACGGATCTACGATTTTAATAAAATACTTATATATGAAATTTCATCAACCTAGCTGTAACGGTACTCAAGTTATCGTGTTTACAGACACACAGACATACGGACAAGATTGCAAAATTATGTTTTTCAGTATTAGTGAAGTGTAAAACGTCGAGATTTCCTAAATCCTCGATTTTTTTTTTTTTTTTGCACGATTACAAGACTTTCTCTATACTTTGTATATACTCGAAAGTAATAAAAAAAAGGTCCAAGTGTTAAAAAGGTAACCATGAACAAAATGACACTCAGCCACATCAACTTTGAAAAACTTTGTAACAGAAAATCACAACATAGAAGAGAGACAGTGGCGTAGCTACCGTAAAGCTAGAGTAAGCAAGGCATAGGGGCCCAAGGCAAATTGGGGCTCTTTTCCCTTTTTACATTTTTAAAAACTTTTACATTGGAATTTTAATATTTGAATTATAAAAATAATTTTAAAAGAAAATGGAAATCCAGTTTATTTTCTACCGTAGAAGTAATCAGAAGTTCCAAAAAAGGCCCCCAAACATTTCTTACTGGGGACGGGCTGTATAGGACCCATCGGTATCAATAACACTATAGGCATTGTTGAATTGTCGGGCAAGCCGTCTTCACCGAAATTCCATCCATGATTACAATTGAGTTCTTTTAACAACCGTGGACAGTGTTTTCACAACAAGCTAAGTCGAATATTTGTCAATGTTTTACTGCTAGTTTTAACCTTAATCACAATTTGTTTATTGATCTAATTTATGCCGCTATATGAGATTTTTGTTTGTTTCCCTGTTCTTTACGCATTAGTACAAAAATGATCCAATCGCCAAGAAACATTTGGAAGTCGTTTAGAATAATTCAGACAAACCTCTACTGACCGTGAAATTTCCTAACAACCCAACATACGAGGAGTAGAGCCAGAGGCGTATCCAGGTTTTCGTTGTAGGGGGAGCGGAAATAGCGAAAAAAGGCGCCGAATTTGTAATATTTTCTATATAAGTATATATATATATATATATATATATATATATATATATATATATATATATATATATATATATATATATATATATATATATATATATATATATATATGTTTGTGTGTGTGTGTTATTGCTTCGATATGATGTAAAATAAATTTAAATAAGCACTCGGAAGAAATAAAAAAAACAACACACAATGTCGGCCGACGAAACAAAAAAATATGGTATCACTCTAAACAAAAACAAATATATATATATATATATATATATATATATATATATATATATATATATATATATATATATATATATATATATATATATATATATATATATATAAACACACTACAACCAAAAACAATGAACGCGGCATAATCTGTTTCGTAATTCTGGTTTAAAAAAATTACATAATAATTCCTGATACATCAATTAAGACTAGCGAAAAGGGGAAATAATCAATATCTTAATATAAATATGTATATGTCTACACATTTTATTATAAATATCAAAACAAATCAATAATTACTTTAGAATCTAATAAAGTACCTTAACACTATTCGATTTTACAAAAATTATTCGTCTAAATAATCAATTTAATATATTGTCATTATAAATGCAAAAGTATCACAGCAAAATGAAAGTTTTTTTTAAATCAGAGTCGGTATAAAACCCAGCTTTTCACTATAGAAGTAAAACATTCGTAATAGTAGCCTACATATAACTTAAATATCGGTCTTATATTTCAGATCATGCACATATTTAATTGCACTGACTTATTGTGTTTTTTAATGATAATTTTTAACATAATGTGAAGGTATGGGTTAAATCACAGTATTGCTCACACACCTTTTACCGGTTATTAAAAAAACAATATTCACAGAGATATACGTTTCAAATGTGCCGACCAAAGATAATTTTTAACAAATATCAATGTTTAAAACTTTGAGTTTAAAAAGTTTCCAAAAAGGCGCCACTTTGCTAAAAATGGCCAGAGGGGGAGCGGCAGCTCCCCCTGCTCCCCCCCCCCTGCGTACGCTACTGAGTAGAGCCCCCCCCCCCCCCCTCGAAGAGAAGGCAGAAAAAAACTCTGACTCCTATAAAGTTTTCTGCCATTAAATATCTTTTTTATTTCTTTCGGAGAGCGGCTCCTTGACAGTAAGGCGGTTCAGTTTGCCAAGCAGAGTTTCCTAGCGGCTTTCTTAGTACCTGGGGTCAGTGGATTGGCTGTCCTGCACAAGGGGTCAGGGTTACTGCTTAATTCAACGGTCAAACTTCACGGGTGCATCAGCCTGCGCCCGGGCTCCCCCCCCCCCCCCCCCCCCCCCCCGTGAGCATACGGCGCATACACTTGTTTTAATGAGCGCGATGCCCTAGGGATACGGAGAAAGAAAATTTAGGGGTGTCCTCCAGCCGCCTCGGCAGTAGTATACGATTAGGCGCCCCGAGTCTTTCCATTATTATGATGTTATGAAACAAGTTGTAGATATGCCTTTGGGCCAGTAACTTGGCCATCCTAAGTATCGAACATACAGAAGAAACTTAAATGGACTTCAAGGAACATCTTAATCACTGTGCAAACTTATGAGAAAAATAAAATATAAATAAATCATGAGCAACTTTTAAAAATTTGTATTTGGTTAGTGGCGTAACAAGGTTCGATATCACCCGGTGCGTTTAGTGAGTGTCACCCCCACCCCGTCCAACAAAGCTACTGTGTTAGGTTACTTGAATGTAACAGGCTTACAGTTAATTTTTTTAGTTTGTTTTTACATAAAAGTGATATAAAATCAAAGGTATTTTACGATACCGGGGTAGAACATAATAATACCGTATACATACACAATTAGGACTTATAAAATACACAATATACAGATTGACGTAGGTGCCCAATTATAATTTTTGCATAGTGGCCCAAAAATCCTAGCTACGCCACTGAAGAGAGAGAACATTTTTTGACGAAATTTCGATTGTTTAATAAAAGACAGAACCATATTATTTGACATTTTATAAGCAGAAAAGAAGAACAAAAAAAAAAAAAACAGAATAATACTTGAAAGTATTATCGATGCGATTTAGGTAAACAGTGTTTAGTGCCATCTTGAATTCCAAGTTTTATGAGAGCCTTTATCAAATGAAAGCAATTTTTGGAAGTTATTAAGTTCCTATCTACAAAAGATAAATGGTTGAAACGGCATTTCTGTGATAGTCAGACACAACCCTGTATACATCAGCCAAACGTTTCAAGAAGGTAGTACATGAAATTAAAATAGCCGACAATTTGGCCGGGATTGTAGATTTAACTATCGACAAAAGAACAATTGATCATTTGTCTTTGTCCAATATATTACTAGCCGTCGGTAACCGTTACACGTGAATTATGGGCCTTCATATTTTAATGGTATACTTGTTCGAGAAAAATATTTTATAAAATAGATATTGGTCAAAACGCAATGTGCTTTATACTACACGTTGAACGTTATTAGTGACAAAGCAAATAAATAACCCAATAGCTAAAAATACGACACAATAAAAATAACATAGGCTACCAATACCTATTAGAAAAACAAACCACAAATTATATAGGCCCTATATTTATTTATTTAAAATTTTTTTTGGTCTGTTCCTCTAGATGAGAGCATCTGCAGTTTGTGTAGAACTGTAAAAATGTGTAGAACTGTAAAAATGTGTAGAACTGTAAAAATGTGTAGAACTGTAAAAATGTGTAGAACTGTAAAAATGTGTAGAACTGTAAAAATGTGTAGAACTGTAAAAATGTGTAGAACTGTAAAAATGTGTAGAACTGTAAAAATGTGTAGAACTGTAAAAATGTGCAGAACTGTAAACATGTGTAGAACTGTAAACATGTGTAGAACTGTAAAAATGTGTAGAACTGTAAAAATGTGTAGAACTGTAAAAATGTGTAGAACTGTAAAAATGTGTAGAACTGTAAAAATGTGTAGAACTGTAAACATGTGTAGAACTGTAAACATGTGTAGAACTGTAAAAATGTGTAGAACTGTAAACATGTGTAGAACTGTAAAAATGTGTAGAACTGTAAAAATGTTCCTAAATGTTTTTTTAGTTATACGCAACTTTATTTAACGACGATAATAATTTATTGATATATTGATATATTTAATTATAAACACATTAAACAGCCCCCCCCCACACACACACACATTAATAAAACTCTCAAACCATGCTTCCAAATTATATTTTAATATAGAATTTGATATTTTCGGTGACATCGTCATTGGGCCAAAATATTTTCGGGAACATTTTCACTAGGCCAAAATATCAAGTGAGCATAAAAAGCGTTGAAAAAAAACATATTTTTATCGAATTAGAATAAATTAGACTCTATAACTATATGTTAAGCGCTTGGTTTATTTAAATGATTTTTGCCATATGAGAAACAGAAACTGCAAGGTATTAGACATTTATTTTTGTATTTAATAGGAATTTATTCTGCACTCGTAGATTCCTTATAACTTTAACAATAATAACAATTGTAAGTAGTAGCCTTCTCTGGTTCACTACCTCAATCTCTGTTTACTTTATTTTTCGTTTTATACAAGAAATTTTTCATTGCATAAGGCGTGGTCAGCGTTCGCGCTAAGTGAAGAAAATGTTTAGTAAAGTAAATGTTAGACTTTTATACAGCTGGATACAATGTTGTTCACACCATATATTGGCGGATACAAAAGTTCTTAAAACAGATTTACACTTTTAAAACTCAATGCAAGGCTCAGCTAAATCTAATACCCAGCATATGGTATGGATCTGCATTGCTGCTGTAGAAGATTAAACAAGGTATTACACTAAGTAGCCTTTAGTATAGGATCGTCGTTTGTGTTTGATTAGAGCTGATCTATCTAAACATGTAGAAAATAAAGAAAGAATATACTGACATTGGTGTCCCCAAAAACATCATACAGTCCCACTCGTTCATGTACATCATCTGGCCCTTTAGGTGAAGAATGGTCGGCTCACTTCGCTCGTCTAGTAAGAAAATGTTCAAGGCACAAATGTTATCTTACAAAAGTTACAGTCAAGAGTTCATGCTAATGGTTCATTGTTTCATATCATAAAGTTGATGTAGACCTACATTCTATACGTTCAATAATAATGATAATAATAATAATAAAATAATTATAATAACTATAACAATAGTAATAATAAAAATCATAATAATAATAATAGTAATGCCCATCATCTCTATTAGTAAAATCGCAATAAAATGTGGAGTTAATAAAAACATATCAGCATATCTAGAATATACAAAGAATGAAATAGAATGAAAACATAATACATAAAAACAGTTAATTTTTTTAAAAAAATTCATTAACAAGCTTTTAAAAAAGTATTTTTTATTAAATTCTTTAAATATATGATGACACAACTGTTTTTAAGACATTTGTCTGCCCCTTCTTTAGTCAACTTTGTCAACAGTTCACCGCGCGATCGCTGGTATTTAATCCTGTTATCTCCCCTTTTATTACTGAATATAATTAAAACCCGGCCAGTAGACTGCGATCTCTAAAAGACAGTTGTCCGCCCCTTCTACATGGTCGACAACCAACCGTGACCAAACAACCGTGACTAAACAACATTCAGCCTGAACCACAGCTTGGGTCATCGAGTGATCGCATCTAGCTAGTTATCTCCCATTCTGTTGAAAGTAATCTGTCGAGTGATCGTTAGTAGAATTGTGTTATCTCCCCTTGGTTTTGAACCAGTTTAGTTAGATTAAAAATAAGATATTCATACATTGATCTTGAAGAAGATGATATCTGGAAAATTTCAACGAAATCGCTTTATTTGAAGTTGGTCAAAATCGAGTTACAATATTAGTTACAAACCAACATACAAACCAACGAACTAAATAAAAGCTTGTATAAAGAGGAGCAGTTGTTGCCTATTTAAATTTAGTAAAGGTATTCTTCTTCTTCTTCGTTAGTGTTGTAAGGAATCCCCTCCTACGCAATTAAGTATACGTGTGAATTAGTTATGCGCCATTGAGGCCATTGACTTCTTTTCTTTTTGGATTTGCTTCCATAGCCTTTGTCCAACCAAGAACATACAAGGCAGTAGTTGTTTGATTTTGTAGTTGTCTCTCCTAGAACAATAGACCGTCGCTGTGTCGACCCAACTCTGATGGGTACCTAACTCACGTTGGGGAAAGTAAAGGCGGCTGGGCATAGTACTGACCACACTATCTCTTCATATGCTGAGGTCAGAGAAACAAGTGAACTCTACTTCACTTGACCGTCAGGTTTGAAAAGGGAACTTTACTCTCCTAGAAGAGTGGCTGTCCCCGGCTAACGAGCCTCATCACCTTAGTAAAAATTAGCTTTAGATTATAAACTTCAAGTTTTAAAAAACAACAACGTTATAGTAAGTCGTGTCAAATGACACACCGTTTAAAATGTCTACATTTAAATTTCACCAAAATAATGACATAAAAACTAAATATGACATGACGTTAGCATACATATCATTCAATCAAATCACTCTAAAGTACAAATCAATAATTTTGAAAACACTCTTTCATGTAAATAAAATAAGGGTCGCTTTTGTTGTAACCATGATACTGTATACCTATGAGTTCTCTCCGCTTTTACCGACCTAGTGTGTGTGTGTGTGTGTACGTGTGTCTGTGTGTCCGTGTACCCCAAAAAAAAACGTCAACGCCTGGACAACAAGTCATAGTCAAAAAGGCCTAATTCATTACAGATCTATAGGAGACCCCCCCCCTTTTACATGTACTTACGTTAGGGAAAGTAAACTCGGTTGAATAAAAAAACGTATTTAAATATATAGAGTTATAGAACCTTAAAGTTAACAGATGATGAAAAAAAAAATAAAATTAACATCCACCTAGTCACCCATCTCACCCAGGTGGTGGAGTCTTTTACTATATATCCTTTACTCCTACTCCTGCTCCCCCTTCACCCACCTGCTCCCCCCCCCCTTCACCCACCTGCTCTCCCTTCACCCACCTGCTCACCCTTCACCCACCTCAACGAGGTGTTGGAGTATTTCCCCTTTCACCCACTTGCTCCCCCTTCACCCAACCCTGTGGGAATGGTAAAGCCATCACGTTTACCCCACAAAGAGATTCTACGGTCATAAAAACATAATGACTTTTTCAGACCCATAAAAACATGACATCCGCACGATGCGTGGGTTACAAAATACGTCAGCGCCGCATACCTGCGCTGTTGCTTACGTTTCCAATGCACGGTGTGAACCCGCATCTGTCGACCATAAATCTTAATCACCGGGCGCGGCCTGTCAAACGGGCAGCGCGGAATACTTCGCTGGCGGTCGAATTTGTTTGATATTTTGAGTTAATTTGAAACAGATGTCGTTAATGGTTGTTGGAAGTCGACACAAAGAACTTTCTATTTTTGTACGCGTTAGCGTTACTCGATTATTTTAAAATTAAAAATAAAAAAAACACACAATCAAATAAACAAAAAAAAAAAACAAATAAAACCAAAAAACAAACAAATTAAAACAAAATTAATTAAAACAAACAAATAATTAAATTACGTAACTAATTAAAAAATTAAAATTTAAAAGTTTTAAAAAATTTAAATTTAAAAATTAAAATTTAAAACTAAAATTAAAAAATTAAAAATTTAAAAAATTTAAAAACTAAAATCAAACATAGTAAAATCAAACTAATTAAAAAATCAAATTTAAATTTAAAAATTCAAACTAATTAAAAACTAATTTAAAATAATTAAAAACAAACAAATAATCAAATTACGTAACTAGTTAATAAAAATTACAAAATTAAAAACAAAATAAATAAAAAATTCAAACTCATTAAAAACTCATTAAAATTAAAAAAAATAATGGTTATTACGTAACTAGGTCACCTGCGGTGATTACGTCACAAGGTCACCCCTTCACCTGATCTACTGACCTACTCTCCCTGCGCCTGCGCCACCTCCGCATCCCCATCCCGAGTATTTTACTACATCTCATTGTACCTGTGCGCTGCGCCTGGAGTATTTTACTATTTCTCGTTGTACCAGGCTGCTTCTCCTGCGCCTTGAGTATTTTACTATATCTCGTTGTACCAGGCTGCGCCTGCGCCTTCGCTCCAAAAGGGACCTAATATACTACTTATACTCATATACCCTTCATGATTTCACTGTTTTCTACCTTGATTTTGTAACTGTAAAACATACACCCTTAAGAAACAGAGACCGGAAAAGGACGCTGTACAGGGGTGGGGGGCTTTTTCGAAGTCTAAAATCGGAAAAATTTACACTAGATTAGTGAGTAGATAACCGTTATCACTTAGAAAAGAAACTAATTGTATTGAAGCATTTTATACGTTTGTGTGCCATTAAAACAAGAGTTAGTGGCGTTTCAAATCCGCTCTATCAATTTTGTCCAAGAAGGTGGGGAGAGGGGGCGCTTTTTCACCAATAAAAACCGCAGGATTTTTACTGGATCGGTGAGTAGATAACTCTTTTAAAGTTTACAAAATAAACCAATTGTATTAACGCTAAGAAATGACGCGACTAGGTCCTTGTACGATTCTTGCGTTTCTCTCAACTTCAACGTTAGAGATCAGATAGTTTTACTTGATTGCATTACATCTCACATAGATCACTTCATTAAAGAGAACTAAATCTCACGGATTCTTGAATCGCTATCCGCTCAGTAAAATAGCATACGGTCGGAGCGGGTGGGTAGAAGGCGACACTCTTTGTCAAAAGTTTTAGAGAGAAGAAAATTAGTATATTGTATCGAATAAATCACTTTTCATTGCTTTTTTCATAACACTTTGTGCAAACTAACTGATAATTTAAAATTGTAATATACTATTATCGATATTGTTCTAAAGACACGACCAAAAGTAGACCAAATAAGCTTGCACCGTCTACAAAGTGCACTCTAAAGCAGTGGTTCTTAACTTTTTGGAGGCACAGAACCCCACCAGTTTAATAAGCGCATTCACCAAACCCCTCATAATAGCTGTATCGTCCACACGAACAAAATCCGATCGTGAATCCTATGAGTCGGGTGTGTGTCTTGACGGAAGCTATGAGACTGAATTACCGAACTTTTTGGGTTCGATGGGACCCACTGTTCTAAACTCATTTGATTTTCTTCTTTTTATTCGTTTCGGCTTCCCATGGAGCATAGGCGTAGGCAACACTTCGTCAACTCACTTGATTTTTATGAAGATCGAAACCTAAAAATCCAGCCCCCCCCCCCCCCCTTCTCTATTTCAAACTATTTTCTCCATGATTTATTGGGTCTTTTTCTCGTCCTCTTACCCCGTGGACCTCAAACAAGCAGCTGCTTAGTGATGTTATGTTTTGTCTCTCTCATATTGTGCTTTAACCACCACCCGCTTAGTGATGTTATGTTTTGTCTGTCCCATATTGTGCCTTAATCACCACCCGCTTAGTGATGTTATGTTTTGTCTGTCTCATATTGTGCCTTAACCACCACCTTTTTATTCTCCACTCTCTTTAACCTAGCTTCGAGCCATACATTGAAAGAGACTTCACATTTAGCTATAGATCCTGCTTGAATTTTTTTTTTGACAATGCATTAGAACTCCACGTTGACTTATAATGCTAATACGCATTCTATCGCTGCTGATTCTAATCATAACTTCATGGTTGGTGCCACCATCATTAAACCGGTTATTACTGCTTCATCAACCAGTTGATCATTTGTTGTTGATTGAGCTGTTGTGTCCGTTGGATTTCAGTTTGTTTCCTTCAGCTTGTTTCATTATACAATCAACCAGTCAACGAAATACCCATGTCGTATTCCAATGTGTACAGTGATTTTGGTATTGTATGTCAATTGTATGACCTTAATCTAACAAACTTATAATCCAACTATATCATACAAGAGCCTGTTAAAATGATAAAAAATAAAAAGACTGCCCTAAACGAATTAGCACCTGCTACAAACTTTCTCTAAACTCAGATGAGGTTTATTTATTTTTTTCTGACATTACTGATGTTTTAAATGTATAAATATAAACTAAACATTTCCTTCTTTAAATAAAGTTTAGTTTATACATTTAAAACATCCAATATATTATTTTCAACAAAAGTCCGCCAGTTTCGACCCATGCCGAAACAGACATAAGTAAGTACGAAGAAGCTAGTTAATTAAAATATTTGAAATAGAATAAAATGCATACAAAACGTTTTAATAACAAACTTTTCTCTTTAACTAGTTGTGCATTATTGTATAATTGAAGAACATCATTTATTTTCTCCCTGTTAGTGCATAATTATGTGAAAGCTTGTTATTAAAAATGTTTTTGCCTACATTTGGTGGCGAATCTGAGACACATTAAACAGAACTACATTTGAAATACTGACCGTTTTCCTTAAAATTGTTTAAAACTTCAGTGTCCAAAGTTGTTTGACTGACAGGGGATTTACCAACCAGCTGGAAAACGTTGTTGGTGTGATGTAATATCTGGAATACAATATGGTATAGAATATATTATACAACTTGCTACCCGTGTATATATTATTACTATCTACAAAAATATGCCAGCCATGAAAAAATATAATTAGCGTAGAATAAAATCCATAAGGATGAAACCGATTATGTTTGTATGTTTATTTGTGGTGGAAATGTGTGTTTGATTTTTTTTCTTCTATTTTTACTTTCTTTTATAGAGGAAGTATTGTAATCGTGCACAAAAATCAAATGAAATTTTGAAAGTTTTCATCGTTTTAAACTTCATTACTTCGTCATATACGGATTATAAGGGGCTTATTTTGATCGGGCAAAAATAATAATTGCAGATTTATCAAAATTTCAGCGGTCTATGCGTAATCGAGTCAGGAAAGCTGGGCTTTGTAATTCTGTCCGTATGTCCATTAAAGCTAGGTTGATGAAATTTGATGTATAAGTATTAGATCGAATTTGTAGTTCTGTATCAACTTTTCAGCGATTTCTGATAACCGGAAGTGGAACTTATTCTACTTTCAATTTTTCAAAAGCCAACTTGATTACTGTTTAAGATAGATGAACGAAATTTCACTTATAAGTAAAAGATCTTCTTGTCTGCCTTCTCTCAAATTTTGAGTAATTTCCGTTGACCTGAAGTAGTAATTTACGCTATTTCCGATTCCTCGAAAATACGCATGTGAATTTATCAAGTACTAATAATATTCCGCACTTTTATACAGAGATTTTTGGCGTTCACTTGGTGCGCAATTCTTTTTTTTTTACGAGATTCTATCTATCTTCTATCTTTATACTACTAAAACTCAACTTTGTTTACATGTTTGAATATTTATTTGTTTGTCTGATTTGCTACTGGAGAGAATCTGCACTATGTGTAGGGCTGTAAAATAATATGTTGGTAACGAACATATTTTCTTTTCAGATTGACTGTTAATCACAAAATTATTTAGAGAAGTTAATTAATTTATTGATTTATTCATAGGTAGATTAACCACATTAATTTTAAAATTTTTAAACAATGGCTTTACCTTGACTGAGTAGTGACGTCACATTTGTTTACTTTTTAGTACAATAAAATGGTGGCTTCCATCCAGAGTTTCTTCCAGGCATCTCTTCGGGGGGGCTAAGCCCCCCCCCCCCCCCCGAAAAATTTTTACCGCCCCCCCCCCCCCCCCGAACGAAATAAAATTTATATAATTTATATAGAAAATATATACTTTTAACAGTGTCCACCCTCCCCGAAGAAAGCTTACCGCCCCCCCCCCCCCCGAAGATTTCAAGTGCCCCCCCCCCCCCGGAGAAAAAAGTCTAGAAGAAACACTGCTTCCGTCATAGACTTTGTGGCCCATTCAAAAGTTTAACTCGTTCTAAAGCTAATTTTCTGTCGGCTATAACTTTAACAATACGTCCTTTTGCTGTTTTTATTACGTTCCAACACTTATATAAATTTTGAACTGTCTTTTTCATTTAGTTTTACAATAAATTTCTCTAGCTCTACAATCTGTCCAGGAAAGTTATCTATAAATAGATGTAAATATCAGGTGGCCAAGAAAGTTATTTATAGATCTAGATCTGGAATCTAGGTCAAACCAAAGATTAATTAGATACAATCCAAAGATTAATTAGATAAAAATACAATCCATTTAAAAATCATAATACATTTTTAGCCCTTAAATACTTGATATAAATCTTTGTGATTTATTTATCTAGATCTAGATTTATCTAGAATAGGTCTAATCTAGATCTAGCAAGATTTACGCAAAAACTAGACTTAAGACTTAAGCAAACGAGTCGTAGAATCTAGATCTATATAATTCTATCTAGATCTAGATAATTTCAGACCTTCCTTGTTTTATATAAATCTTTGTTTGTTTAGCTATGTAATTGGCTAATTTAAGATAAAATTTAATTTGAAAGTTACTACTACTAGATCTAGACTTTGATATAGATCTATGCGCGTAAATTAAGTTGCATAAGGAGACTCAAAGTATTAAACTATACCATAAAAAACGTCAGTGATGTCACGAGTCTGAATAGCACAGTTGTTAGTGTAACCGGCTTTCAAGCGGGTGGCACGGGTTCTAGACACATTACGTCAATGTTAAATGTTTTTTTCAATTTTTTGTTTATTTTTTTAGATGTGAATGATAAAGCTGCCTATCTGAACTTGGCGGGATACAGGGCAGGTGAAGTAGAGTTCATCTGTTTTTTTTTTGTCCTAAGCATATGAAGGGATAGTGTGGTCAGAGACATGCTCGGCTGGAATTGTTTTTTTAAACCATAAAAACATGTTTTCTGAGACTTTGCGGGACACTGGGCAGGTGAAATAGAGTTGAGTAGGTCACCTGTGACGTCAGTATATGAAGTGATAGTCTGAAATCGGTGGTTTTAAAAGATAAAACATCTTTTTGAATGTGGGGTCTGGTTTTTTGTGACGATAAGTGACAGACGTGATCTTATTTTGTGGATGACCTCCGAAACCCACAGTTATCCAAGGGATGACGGGTAGTCTAGTATACTACTAAAACTCAACTTTGTTTACATGTTTGAATATTTATTTGTTTTTCCGATTGACTACTGTAGAGAATCTGCGCTATGTGTAGAGCTGTAAAATAGTAATTAGGTAGAAAACAATTTTTGTTTTCAGACAGACTGTTAATCACAATTTTTTAAAAGAAGTTAATTCATTTATTGTTTTATTCATTGGTAGATTAACCACATTAATTTTAAAAGTTTAGAAAAACGACTTTACTTTGAGTGAATAGTGACTTCACATGATTTGTTTACTTTTAGTACAATCAATGGCGGCTCCAATACAATATTTCGTGGCCTATTCAGATCTTTAACGCGTTATAAAGCTAATTTTCTGTCGGCTATACTTTAACAATACGTCCGTTTGCTGTATCTATACGTTACAAAACTTATATCAATTGTCAACTGTCTTTTTCATTAAGTTTTACAATAAATGTCTCTAGATCTACAGATCAGCTGTCGAAGGAAGAAAAAGTTATGAATCTAGATCTAGGTCACTAGACTTAATGTTAATTCTTAATTCTATATCTAGACTTAATGTAAATTCTACATCTAGAATCTATTTCAGGCCTTAATTATTTTATAAAAAAGTTTGTTTAGCTTCACTGATCATCTTATTCGAGAATGCATAGGGTTTATCTATCTAGGTTCTAGATAGAAATTCTAGATCTATCTAAAATTTCGATCTAATCTAGACTATTTAGATGTAGAATCTAGACTCAACGTAAATTCTACATCTAGATCTAGACTAAACGTACATTCTCTAAATCTAGAACCTAGAATCTATATATTAAACTATTTCAGGCCTTAATTATTTTATATAAATCTTTGTTTGTTTAGCTATGGAATATGATAATTTGGAAATGCTCGATCTAGGGCCTATTTGCGTAACTTAAGATTCATACGCGGATTCTATACCGCTAATTTTGCAAAAATAGACTTTACGTAAATTCTACTTCTAGACCTAACGTAAATTCTCGATCTAGCTCTATCTAGATATACAAAACTATTTCAGGCCTTAATATTTTACTTTATATAAACCTTTGTTTGTTTAGCTGTGGTATAGACTAATGTGGGATAATATTAAATTTGAAATGCTCGATCTAGGGCCTATATGCGTAACTTAAGTTTCATACAAGGATTCTTTACCGCTAAATTTGCTTTTAATTGTAACTTTCCTGATAGGTGAGTTGATAGTATAATCGCTAACCGTGTGTGTGATACGGGTTCGAAACACATCTTGTAAATATTATTTATTTATTTTTGTATTTTTTTTATAGATGTGAATGATAAAGTTGTCTATCGGGACTTGGCAGGACACGGGGCAGGTGAAGTAGAGTTCACCTGTTTCTGTGTTCTTGGCATATGAAGGGATAATGTGGTCAGAGCCATGCTCGGCCGGAATATTTTTTGTAAACGATAAAAAGATGTTGTCTGAGACTTGGCGGGACACTGGGCAGGCGAAGTAGAGATGGGTAGGTGTAGAGTTCACCTGTGACGTCAGAATATGAAGGGGTAATGTGGTCAGACCTATGCTCAGCCTATGTTGGTGTCAGTGTTTCTTCCAGACTTTTTTCTCCGGGGGTGGGGGGAGGGAGACGGTAGACTTTCTTCGTTGGGGGAGGGGGGTGGAGCCCTCCCCCTCTCTCCTCCCTCCCCCCGAGATGTCTGGAAGAAACTCTGATCGGTGTTTTAAAAAACAAAAACATGTCTAAGTTGGGGGGGGGGGACGACACTGGGCAGGTGAAGTAGAGTTGACCTGTTTTTGTTATCTCAGCATTTAAAGGGATAGTGTTGTCAGACCCATGCTCAGCCGAAATAGGTGTTTTTAAAAGACAAAAACGTCTGAGGTGTGACGTCTATTTGAATGTGTGGTCTGGTTTTTTGTGAAGATAAGTGACAGACGTGATGTTTTTTATGGATGATCCCCGAAACCCACAGTTATCCAAGGGATGTCGGGCAGTATAGTTCTATTTTAAAAAGTTTAAGTATTTAAAAATGGATTAAAAAACATATCTATATCCGGAGTCGCCATCCCCCGTAGTGTTATATAAGAATATTCTAGAAAACTTAGGTGAGGTCAATCCCGGTTAATTTTTAATGTGGCACATTAAAACTTAAAAATATTCGCACACGCACGTACACACGCACGTACACACGCACGTACACACGCACGTACACACGCACGTACACATAGCCTACACAAGAGCGTGAGGACACGACGAAGGCACATAGGGGAGGTAAGGCAGAGTTAATGGGAACCGGAAGAGGGATGTGACGTCCATTAGCACAGCGCCACTCGGCGGACTGCGTGTTAAAGACCTGGGCTTTCTGAGTACCACGCAAAAGTTACGTCATTACTTATCATCCAACCCCTCATGGTACGTAATCATGATTGAAGGTAGGAGTGTAGGTAGGAGTGTAGGTAGGAGTGTAGGTAGGAGTGTAGGTAATCAGGAGCACCAAATCTTGCTACAGGTTTTCCACCCAGCGCTACCAAGCTTTCAGACCTAAGGACACATAGAGCAGACGAAGTAGAGTGCTTGTGTTTCTTAAGCGAGACATGTGAACGGATGATGTGGTCAGCACTTTGTCCAGCCTCCTTAGTGTGTCTGGTACCCATCAATGTGGTCAGCACTATGTCCAGCCTCCTTAGTGTGTCTGGTACCCATCAATGTGGTCAGCACTATGTCCAGCCTCCTAAGTGTGTCTGTTAACCATCAATGTGGTCAGCACTATGTCCAGCCTCCTTAGTGTGTCTGGTACCCATCAATGTGGTCAGCACTATGTCCAGCCTCCTTAGTGTGTCTGGTACCCATCAATGTGGTCAGCACTATGTCCAGCCTCCTAAGTGTGTCTGTTAACCATCAATGTGGTCAGCACTATGTCCAGCCTCCTAAGTGTGTCTGGTACCCATCAATGTGGTCAGCACTATGTCCAGCCTCCTAAGTGTGTCTGGTACCCATCAATGTGGTCAGCACTATGTCCAGCCTCCTTAGTGTGTCTGGTACCCATCAATGTGGTCAGCACTATGTCCAGCCTCCTAAGTGTGTCTGGTACCCATCAATGTGGTCAGCACTATGTCCAGCCTCCTAAGTGTGTCTGTTAACCATCAATGTGGTCAGCACTATGTCCAGCCTCCTTAGTGTGTCTGTTAACCATCAATGTGGTCAGCACTATGTCCAGCCTCCTAAGTGTGTCTGTTAACCATCAATGTGGTCAGCACTATGTCCAGCCTCCTTAGTGTGTCTGGTACCCATCAATGTGGTCAGCACTATGTCCAGCCTCCTAAGTGTGTCTGGTACCCATCAATGTGGTCAGCACTATGTCCAGCCTCCTAAGTGTGTCTGTTAACCATCAATGTGGTCAGCACTATGTCCAGCCTCCTTAGTGTGTCTGGTACCCATCAATGTGGTCAGCACTATGTCCAGCCTCCTAAGTGTGTCTGTTAACCATCAATGTGGTCAGCACTATGTCCAGCCTCCTTAGTGTGTCTGTTAACCATCAATGTGGTCAGCACTATGTCCAGCCTCCTTAGTGTGTCTGGTACCCATCAATGTGGTCAGCACTATGTCCAGCCTCCTAAGTGTGTCTGTTAACCATCAATGTGGTCAGCACTATGTCCAGCCTCCTAAGTGTGTCTGGTACCCATCAATGTGGTCAGCACTATGTCCAGCCTCCTAAGTGTGTCTGTTAACCATCAAATCTTGCTGGCCCAAGCGACGTGTTAGGGAACCAAAAGCGATTTGATGCTCTTATATGATGTTATACGACAAGATATTATTATTATATTCGTAAATAGCCATGTGGAGTCGGCTATAGAAATGGTAAATTTGCGATAAAATGGCTCGATTTTTACTTTCTCGTAAACGAAGTATAGAGGAAATATTGCAATTCTGCAGAAAATCGAAATCGAGATTTTCACAAATCTCGACGATTTACACCTCCATAAGTCTGTAAAAAAAACTTAGTTTTGCAATTTTGTCCGGGTGTCTTTGAGTGTATATATATATATATATATATATATATATATATATATATATATATATATATATATATATATATATATATATATATATATATATATATACTGCGCACCTAATGAACATGAAATCGCGCGTATTAGTGCGGAATTGTTTGGATAAGCAGCCTACTAATTTGCACAAAATTTTTATAAATTTAAAAAAAATAATTAGGTATCCATCTAAGTCAAATATGCATTGTCTTCATGTCTTGACCCACGTACCAACTTTCAAATGAATCTGTTATCTAGAAGTGCCCGAAATTTCCCTCGGTCGTTTTGATCTATGAGGACAGACAGAGGACAGACTGTCAAGAGACTGGACGAGGAAGCAAGTTAAATAAAAGCTTGCAAAAAATCATATCTATATCTCGAGTTGCATTCCCCGAAGTGTTAAATAACAATATTCAAGAAAGTTTAGTGGAGATCACTCCCGCTTTTTAAAAATAGTTATTCAACACTAGACATTTGACCTGTATAGAGTTTTTTTAGAACTTGATTTAAGAATGAGTTGCAGAAAATGAAAAGTTTCGACAAGATTTATGGCTCCTATAAAACTTCGACTACTCGGAACCGATTATCAGAAAACATTACGGGATCGATTCCACTGTCCGGGTTAAATCAAGAAGAGGAAACAGCGGATAGCCGGCCCATTAATATCCGTTGGGCGGTATCGATCTGATGAACACTGCGCGGCTCAGGTGACGTGTGACGTCACAGGTGTTGGCTCCAAATCATACTCAGAGGAAAGTGGCAGATAAAGATACATGCTTCACCAAAAAACTGCTACTCACATCCTCCCATAAAGACATCAACAAACTTCTACTCACATCCACCCATAAAGACATCAACAAACTTCTACTCACATCCACCCATAAAGACATCAACAAACTGCTACTCACATCCTCCCATAAAGACATCAACAAACTGCTACTCACATCCACCCATAAAGACATCAACAAACTGCTACTCACATCCACCCATAAAGACATCAACAAACTGCTACTCACATCCTCCCATAAAGACATCAACAAACTGCTACTCACATCCTCCCATAAAGACATCAACAAACTTCTACTCACATCCACCCATAAAGACATCAACAAACTGCTACTCACATCCTCCCATGTAAAATTGGTTAAAGGCCGCTCGAGAAGAAAATGGTCCAGCAGGCACTGTCCCACGGCTGTGGGTAACACGGCATGGAGCCCAGGGCCCACACTTCTGATCTCCATCTTTCTACTGAAGACGATGTGGAAGGGAAAGAGCTCAAACAGCAGCTCTGGGCGAAGGGGGATGCTGTCTACGATGTTGTCTACCACGTGCTTGGCTTGCTCCCTGAAGGCCTTGTTGTCAAAGAGCAAGCGGAACTTGACGTGGCTAGTCTGACTCTCCTCGTTAAAGTCTTTGGCAACGACAAAAATGTCCACCCTCGTGTTGTAAAATACTTTCCCGACCTGCCGGATTTGACCTTTGACATAATGCAGGTAGCCCCGCCTTCTTGATCTGTAGGTCAAGGTCAGGCCATTTTTAGTCTCATCTTCAACAAAAAACGAAGGCGGTTTTAACTTTGGATAGCTAAAGCGGAGGTACTCGTGCAGGTTGTCCAGTCCGTTGAGAAAGTCCCGCATGTGTCGTCCCAGCACCTTGAGGATACGGTCGTAGCCGAACTGGCCGACAAAGTTGACGAACTCCACGCCAAAGCTGTCCATGATGGTGTCCACTGTGTCTCCGGTGATCTGAGGAATGAAGACACTAATGAATGGCTGACAATATAATCAAGGTGCCATAGTAATGGACACATAAGGGCCAAAGATTGAATTGTAATGAGTACTATTAAGGCGAAGCAATTAGCACAAGCATGTCAAGGTACCAGACTGACCTGTGCAAATGGTATTGTGCGAATACGGAAATATAATGAACAAGATAATGGACGGAATTTCAAAACCTTTTTCTGCTACGTATTGTTGCTCCAACGTTTTGTCGATTCATGTGTTATTCGAAATAAATGTTCACTAAAAAATTTATTAACTAAATATTTACGCATCATTTTATTGGCTATGTGTTGATGACTTAGCTAAAATATTTTCATCTAAATATTTTTCCCAATTTCCGAAATGTTTTGTTGACTGAATACACATATTGGTGAAAACCAGCCCCTATAAAAAAAAAACAACACGTTTTATCATTCGGAGCGCAGCTACTTGCACATGCAGAGATCGATTTGCTTGTCTTTTTGAAACACTGCAGGGATCCTTACCCGTGTAACGTCAACCCCCCCCCCCTCACATCACGTCTATCGTGATGTCTCCCCCACCCTCACAGTCCCATCAAGTAAAATGGTCTCTTATCAGCTGTTATACATAGCAATGTCTACATTAATGCTGCGGTTGACTGACTTACCATTGATGTTGCGGTTGACTGACTTACCATTGATGTTGCGGTTGACTGACTTACCATTAATGCTGCGGTTGACTGACTTACCATTGATGCTGCGGTTGACTGACTTACCATTGATGCTGCGGTTGCCATGTCTACCATGAAGGACTCGCCGTACACGTTGTGTGTGCTGAAGCCGCTGACGGACAAGTTGGCCTCCTTCCTGATCCTCTCCCACGTCTCCTCGCCGTACTTGCTCTTTAGGAAATCGGCGGCCGACTGGAGCAGCAGGCCGTACATGGCTGGTGGGGCGTCACACTTTCGTGGGCTGGGGCGTCACACTTTCGTGGGCTGGGTCGTCACACTTTCATGGGCTGGGGCGTCACACTTTCGTGGGCTGGGTCGTCACACTTTCATGGGCTAGGGCGTGACACGTTCGTGGGCTTGGGCGTCACACTTTCGTGGGCTGGGGTGTCACAGTTAGGAGATATGGGGCGTGGCTCTGGTAGAGGGCTGGTGGTGAAACAACTGAAAGTATAAATCAAATCTGCTAATCATGGCGTTTAACGAGACACAATTCGGTTTGCTCATTTGTTGTGGGTGTATCAAAGTCTGAAATTTGAACTTGTGGAAGTTCAAATGTCAGACTTTATGACAGTGTGTAGAGTGCGATAGTTTTGGAAAGGTAGGGGTGGGATTTGATGTTGACTAAGACGATACTGACTAAGTCGATAACAATCCTGAACGTGAGTACTGGACTAAGTCGATACTGGGCTAAGTCGATAACAATCCTGAACAGGAGTACTGAACTAAGTCGATACTGGGCTAAGTCGATACTGGGCTAGGTCGATAGCAATCCTGAACAATACTGAACTAAGTCGATACTGGGCTAAGTCGATAACAATCCTGAACATGAGTACTGAACTAAGTCGATACTGGGTTAAGTCGATAGTGGACTAAGTTGATACTAAACCAAGTCGACAACAATCCTGAACTGGAATAATGGACTACGTAGATGCTGGACTATATCGATACTTAACTAAGTCGAAACTGGACTTAGTCGATAACAATCCTGAACAGGAGTACTGGACTAAGTCGATACTGGACTAAGTCGATCCTACCCAAAACAAGCCTTGTCTCTTCCGGTTTAACCGCCATCTTTGTTGTTTGGATGTACGTGAGCACGTGAAGCGGGATGAGACACCAAAGCGAGGCTGGTAATTAAAACGATAGCATCTCTATTGGGTATCGATCAACTCTCGTTGACACTCACCCCCCCCCCAACACACACCACGCCCTCACCATTCCCGTAGACATAAGTAGTCTCGTAGTGTCTAAACACAACAGTTAACCATGTGTTTAAACAACAGTGAACCATGTGTTTAAACACAGTAGTGAAGCAGGTGTTTAACAAAACATGTTGTCGAATATAGTCACTAAAACTTCTAACCGTTTGGTAATTACAAATAAACAGTTAAATAGGTCAAACACGAGACAGTAGCGTAGGCGGGATGGGAATGATATACATATACAAAAATAAAAATATATTATATATATATATATATATATATATATATATATATATATATATATATATATATATATATATATATATATACATGTTGCTCGTTTGCTACATGTTGCTGGTGTGTTAAATGTTGCTGGTGTGTTAAATGTTGCTGGTGTGTTAAGTGTTGCTGATGTGTTAAATGTTGTTGGTGTGCTACATGTTGCTGGTGTGTTAAATGTTGCTGGCGTGTTAAGTGTTGTTGGTGTGTTAAGTGTTGCTGGTGTGTTAAATGTTGCTGGTGTGTTAAATGTTGCTGATGTGTTAAGTGTTGCTGGTGTGTTAAGTGTTGCTGGTGTGTTAAGTGTTGTTGGTGTGTTAAGTGTTTTTGGTGTGTTAAGTGTTGCGGGTGTGTTAAGTGTTGTTGGTGTGTTAAGTGTTGCTGATGTGTTAAATGTTGCTGGTGTGTTAAATGTTGCTGATGTGTTAAATGTTGCTGGTGTGTTACATGTTGTTGGTGTGTTAAATGTTGCTGATGTGTTAAGTGTTGCTGATGTGTTAAGTGTTGCTGATGTGTTAAATGTTGCTGGTGTGTTACATGTTGTTGGTGTGTTAAATGTTGCTGATGTGTTAAATGTTGCTGGTGTGTTACATGTTGCTGATGTGTTAAATGTTGCTGGTGTGTTAAATGTTGCTTGTGTGTTAAATGTTGCTGATGTGTTAAATGTTGCTGGTGTGTTAAGTGTTGCTGGTGTGTTAAATGTTGCTGGTGTGTTACATGTTGCTGGTGTGTTACATGTTGCTGGTGTGTTAAATGTTGCTGGTGTGTTAAACAGAACGAGACGATATTTTTTTCTCCCCTAATCAACGTCTACCATCTGGTACCTTCCCCCCCCCCCCCTCCCCTCCCCAACCTGTTCGCCAACGAGATAGCGTGAAGGAAATATTTACACCCAGTGAGAGCTATCTTAGAGCTCATTGAGAACGTGTGTACAAGCGTTTGTTTGTATCCCCTCCCCCCTCACGTCAACCTGGATAAGAGTTAAAAATAGGAGGTGATCTAGATGATGGACAGGGTTCAACCTTTCAATTACGCTAATGTTACAAGAGATTTGGATTATAAAATAAAACAAATATAAAAACCTAGAAAATAAAAAGCTTTTTAAAGCATTAAAAACAGCTTTCTCTTATAAAAATTTTGATCGATTATGAAATATCTTACACGTCAAGGCTTAAAATTTTAAAGCTTCTTTTATTTTCCACTTTAATCTAAATGAAGTTGGTACCCAATATTTGCTCGCAACCCCTAAAAAAACAATAATCCACATTTTCTTAGGCAACCAAATCAAGTTATACTTCTAGTTACCAAATCTAGTTATACTTCTAGCCACCAAATCTAGTTATACTTCTAGTTACCAAATCAAGTTATACTTCTAGCCACCAAATCTAGTTATGCTTCTAGTTACCAAATCTAGTTATACTTCTAGTTACCAAATCAAGTTATACTTCTAGCCACCAAATCTAGTTATACTTCTAGTTACCAAATCTAGTTATACTTCTAGCCACCAAATCTAGTTATACTTCTAGCCACCAAATCTAGTTATACTTCTAGCCACCAAATCTAGTTATACTTCTAGTTACCAAATCTAGTTATACTTCTAGTTACCAAATCAAGTTATACTTCTAGCCACCAAATCTAGTTATACTTCTAGCCACCAAATCTAGTTATATGTATGGTCATCTGCTGTATCTTATTACGTTTAGTCATGCTTTAATTACCACAATAATTAGTTATAATCTTGGCCTCCCTATAATAAATATATATAGTAATTTGTTCAAATTGCTTTTCTCAATACCATCACATGGCTCAATAAAACGTTTCCATTTTAAATTTACGTCATTTGAATCGTCTGCTTTGAATCTAGCGTCGTAATTAAAATATTTAAACGTCGTAATTAAAATATTTAAACGTCGTAATTAAAATATTTAAACGTCGTAATTAAAATATTTAAACGTCTTAATTAAAATATTTAAACGTCGTAATTAAAATATTTAAACGTCTTAATTAAAATATTGTTGCCTTAATTAAAGTATAAATCGTATAATTGTCGTTAATAAGTGCTATACTGCTCGCTTAGCAACAGGTTATCAACTGACTATCTAGTCTGTCTACAACTGACCATCTAGTCTGTCTACAACTGACCATCTAGTCTGTCTACAACTGACCATCTAGTCTGTCTACAACTGACCATCTAGTCTGTCTACAACTGACCATCTAGTCTGTCTACAACTGACCATCTAGTCTGTCTACAACTGACCATCTAGTCTGTCTACAACTGACCATCTAGTCTGTCTACAACTGACCATCTAGTCTGTCTACAACTGACCATCTAGTCTGTCTACAACTGACCATCTAGCATATTTAACACTGACCTACTTGCTTGTCTATTACAAATCCCAATTTGACTAAAGATTGTCAGAAAATAACTAGTCTTTTCTAAGTTCATCCTTAAATTTTGTATCCGACTATATTTCTCTACTAACCCTGAAAGTTAATATCTAACTATTGCCCTAAACTCACCCAGAAATTGTGTATCCAACTTTCTCTACTCACACAGAAATTGTGTATCCAACTTTCTCTATTCACACAGAAATTGTGTATCCAACTCTCTCTACTCACACAGAAATTGTGTATCCAACTTTCTCTACTCACACAGAAATTGTGAATCCAACTTCCTCTATTCACACAGAAATTGTGTATCCAACTTTCTCTACTCACACAGAAATTGTGTATCCAACTTTCCCTACTCACACAGAAATTGTGAATCCAACTTCCTCTATTCACACAGAAATTGTGTATCCAACTTTCTCTACTCACACAGAAATTGTGTATCCAACTTTCTCTACTCACACAGAAATTGTGAATCCAACTTCCTCTATTCACACAGAAATTGTGTATCCAACTTTCTCTACTCACACAGAAATTGTGTATCCAACTTTCCCTACTCACACAGAAATTGTGTATCCCACTTTCTCTACTCACACAGAAATTGTGTATCCAACTTTCTCTACTCACCCAGAAATTGTGTATCCAACTTTCTCTACTCACACAGAAATTGTGTATCCAACTTTCTCTACTCACACAGAAATTGTGTATCCAACTTTCTCTACTCACCCAGAAATTGTGTATCCAACTTTCTCTACTCACCCAGAAATTGTGTATCCAACTTTCTCTACTCACCCAGAAATTGTGTATTCAACTTTCTCTACTCACCCAGAAATTGTGTATCCAACTTTCTCTACTCACACAGAAATTGTGTATCCCACTTTCTCTACTCACACAGAAATTGTGTGTCCAACTTTCTCTACTCACACAGAAATTGTGTATCCAACTTTCCCTACTCACCCAGAAATTGTGTATCCCACTTTCTCTACTCACCCAGAAATTGTGTGTCCAACTTTCTCTACTCACACAGAAATTGTGTATCCAACTTTCTCTACTCACACAGAAATTGTGTATCCAACTTTCTCTACTCACACAGAAATTGTGTATCCAACTTTCTCTACTCACACAGAAATTGTGTATCCAACTTTCTCTACTCACACAGAAATTGTGTATCCCACTTTCTCTACTCACACAGAAATTGTGTATCCCACTTTCTCTACTCACCCAGAAATTGTGTATCCAACTTTCTCTACTCACCCAGAAATTGTGTATCCAACTTTCTCTACTCACACAGAAATTGTGTATCCAACTTTCTCTACTCACCCAGAAATTGTGTATCCAACTTTCTCTACTCACACAGAAATTGTGTATCCAACTTTCTCTACTCACACAGAAATTGTGTATCCAACTTTCTCTACTCACCCAGAAATTGTGTATCCAACTTTCTCTACTCACACAGAAATTGTGTATCCAACTTTCCCTACTCACCCAGAAATTGTGTATCCAACTTTCTCTACTCACACAGAAATTGTGTATCCAACTTTCTCTACTCACCCAGAAATTGTGTATCCAACTTTCTCTACTCACACAGAAATTGTGTATCCAACTTTCTCTACTCACCCAGAAATTGTGTATCCCACTTTCTCTACTCACACAGAAATTGTGTATCCAACTTTCTCTACTCACCCAGAAATTGTGTATCCAACTTTCTCTACTCACACAGAAATTGTGTATCCAACTTTCTCTACTCACCCAGAAATTGTGTATCCAACTTTCTCTACTCACACAGAAATTGTGTATCCAACTTTCTCTACTCACCCAGAAATTGTGTATCCAACTTTCTCTACTCACACAGAAATTGTGTATCCAACTTTCTCTACTCACACAGAAATTGTGTATCCAACTTTCTCTACTCACCCAGAAATTGTGTATCCAACTTTCTCTACTCACCCAGAAATTGTGTATCCAACTTTCTCTACTCACACAGAAATTGTGTATCCAACTTTCTCTACTCACACCCGTACAGCAACAAACACCGGGTAAACGTGCGAGGCTAATCTGACGTCATAATCCCCCGCTCGCGCTCTAGTCACGTGGTCATCATAAGCTCGCGAGCAGCGAGATAAAGACATCTAGCTACACACTGACATCTATGACATCTAGCTACACACTGACATCTAGCTACACACTGACATCTAGCTACACACTGACATCTATGACATCTAGCTACACACTGACATCTATGACATCTAGCTACACACTGACATCTAGCTACACACTGACATCATTGACATCTAGCTACACACTGACATCTAGCTACACACTGACATCTAGCTACACACTGACATCTATGACATATATCTACACACTGACATCTAGCTACACACTGACATCATTGACATCTAGCTACACACTGACATCTAGCTACACACTGACATCATTGACATCTAGCTACACACTGACATCTAGCTACACACTGACATCTAGCTACACACTGACATCTAGCTACACACTGACATCTATGACATATATCTACACACTGACATCTATGACATCTAGCTACACACTGACATCTAGCTACACACTGACATCTATGACATCTAACTACACACTGACATCTAGCTACACACTGACATCTAGCTACACACTGACATCTAGCTACACACTGACATCTATGACATCTATCTACACACTGACATCTATGACATCTAGCTACACACTGACATCTAGCTACACACTGACATCTATGACATCTATCTACACACTGACATCTATGACATCTAGCTACACACTGACATCTAGCTACACACTGACATCTATGACATCTAGCTACACACTGACATCTAGCTACACACTGACATCTATGACATCTATCTACACACTGACATCTATGACATCTAGCTACACACTGACATCTAGCTACACACTGACATCTATGACATCTAGCTACACACTGACATCTAGCTACACACTGACATATATGACATCTAGCTACACACTGACATCTAGCTACACACTGACATCTAAAAGTTGTTATATTTGTTTGATTTCCGCGTTTTAGTAATTAGTTCTTAATAAAGTCGAAAGCACATAATACTAAATGATTTGCTTTGAGATGAGTAACTTGCGATCTGCCCCTTCTCAGTTCGCGGGCGACACTCAAGTCAAAAAATCAGTGAACCGTGAAACCACAATTGACTGCCAGAAAGCCGATCAAGCTAGTATTTAATGGGGCTAGAACTCTCGCCATTATTTTTATGATTAATCCATTGCCTCGGTGGATTTCAAATTAAGCTATTCTTGCATTGTCATCGGAGACAAGTATGTCTGGGAACGAAATCACTGCATTCAAAGTGGGTTAAAATGGCGTTTCAAGATTTGCCACATTCAACAAACAAACAAACATTAACATAAATAAAAGCTTTGAAATATATAACTAACAGCTAGCTACACTTAACCTTGACCTCCATTTAACATACAGAGTTGGGAAGATAATTATGTCCCTTCTGGTCTAATTGGGCTATGGCAATAGTTGATACGATTAAGACAAAATCGAGAGAAACTTCGAGATTTTTTTTTGGATTTTACTGTTGTTTGAAAGTGTTGTAAACATTTTGTAAATTCTAAATATGTTATAAAACATATTAGCAGCAGTGGTCTCACCTCAACATTCCGTTACATTACAAATATAGCACAGCGTAAAAAAAAGAATTGCGGACCAAGTGAACGTAAATTATGCTTAGAGCGGACAGTTAGTGCTTTATAAAGAAAATATTGATTAATTTTAATAAAGTTAATTGAACATCTAATTCAGCCAAATTCTATTTCAGAATGCAATGTCATCAAGTCTAGCCCTACGTGAAAAAATGTCATCAAGTCTAGACCTACGTGAAAAATGTCAAGTCTAGACCTGCGTAAAAAAATGTCATCAAGGCTAGACCTACGTGAAAAATTTGGAAGAAATCGATCCTGTAGAAGTGATTTTTTTTTTCAGAAATCGGTAAAAGCGTAAAGTAATATTTCTGTTCAGCAAAAATCATTCAAAACATGACTAAAATTTGACAGGATCAAGAAAATAAGATGTATAGGCCTACTTTAAATATAAAATTTTGTTTGCCTAGCTAAAACGGTAATAAAGTTACAGGTATTTAGAAAACGGAAATAAAATAAAGTACCACTTCCGTTTATTGGAAATAGTTCAAAAGTTGTAAGTTATTTAAGCATAAGATCTTATACCCTACTTGGCTATAAGAAATTTGGTCACACGAACTGTACCAGTCCACACGGAGAGTAAAGAACAACTTCCTTTATCGGAAATAGCTCAATTTGACAGAATGATGCGCATACAATGAAATGCTTATATTTGAGATTTCTTGAATCGTGCTCCAGTGGTTGGCAGAAATAAGAAGTACGGTAACACTTCCGGTACTGGAAATCATTCAAAAGTTGATACACAACATATTTGAAATAATAAACTGATGTATCAAATTCCGTCAGCATAACACAAACGGTACTCAAGTTATCGTGTTCACACACACACACACACACACACACAGAGAGAGAGAGAGAGAGAGAGATAAAATTGCTAAACTTTTCCGGCTCAGGGAAGAGTAAAACGTCGAGGTTTGTAAAACTATCGATTTTGAATTTTTGTACGATTTCAGTACTGTCTCTGTAAGGTAAAAATATATTAAATTACACGTCCGTTCATTGGCAATCGGTCAAACGTTGATAATTCGTAAGGTATTTGATTTCATACTTAGTCTAGATATAACAATTGATCCATCTAACTAAAACAGTTGTCGGGTTCTCTTGCTAACACGCATTGCCACATGGCCCTTACATGCATACATACATACAAGGATGTAATTCTGACTTGAGCAGAGTTAAAATTCGTTTTGGTCAGGTGTGTATCAGTTGGACGGTTATTTGGGCAGGTGTGTATCAGTTGGACGGTCATTTGGGCAGGTGTGTATCAGTTGGACGGTCATTTGGGCAGGTGTGTATCAGTTGGACGGTCATTTGGGCAGGTGTGTATCAGTTGGACGGTCATTTGGGCAGGTGTGTATCAGTTGGACGGTCATTTGGGCAGGTGTGTATCAGTTGGACGGTCATTTGGGCAGGTGTGTATCAGTTGGACGGTCATTTGGGCAGGTGTGTATCAGTTGGACGGTTATTTGGGCAGGTGTGTATCAGTTGGAC